CTATTGTATTATATCATCTATTATCTAACGCCACCCTGTGGGAATTAGCTGCGATCACACCCACAATTCTATGCGTTTATCGAGTTATGCATTAACCGAGAGTTTACTGTAAGTTGATTAGAAATTGGCACTCAAGGAGTCTTATGAATTCTGACAGAAATAAATTGTGAACTTTTAAGTTTTCGAGTTGGATTTTTTGCTTCGTGATTCTACAGAGAAAATGTGAAAGTTTTATTACGTTTTGATTGAAACGTTTCCGTGGAGCTGTTGATGATCAGTGTCCTACCGAAGTCGGAAAAGTGGTACATTTCGATGCGAAAATTTTTTCTAGAAATTTTTTCCAACTATTTAGCACTGCAAAACTTTGCAGAAAAACTGAGGCAATCAATTCTTCATCAGACTTTCCGTTCAAGAACAATCGATATTCAAACGTAGGGATTAATCCCAGTGCCTTTCTTAGGAAATTTTTGGACCTTGTTTACCACCTTTGGAAAGTCACCTTTATTTGACTCTCTCTCTCGTATAAAAATTGTATTGTAGAAAAATAAGAGAGTTAGGTCTAAACCAGTGAATATTAATCCAAATCTAACACCGAAAAATTCAGTTAAATAGTTGAATGAATTGTAAAATAATAAAAAACTAAGTAAAATCGAATTAAATTGTTCAATTGATATTGTATCAATTAATACAAGTAAAGTGAAAACCTGTGTTACTGTTAACCGGTTGGTTTTAACCCAAAAGAGTTCAACATTTTGGTGTCCCGTGTGAAGGTTTTGATAGCGAAGGAAAAATCGACTCTAAGCTAATCAGCGATTGATTAAAAATAAGTTGTTATTAATTAACCTTTCTTTCTTTCCCTCTTTGAAATTTTTAAAACAATAAATGTTTAAACTCTCTATCTAAGAAAACTATTGTTAACAGGTAACCATTTGCAAATAAACCACTAATCCAAGCAAGGAAACAGGAAACTGGAAACTGGAAAAAGGTGAAGTTTTTTATCAGTAAACCAAACTTCCCTACCTCACCTCCTTATTTATTTAACCTCCTAAGATTTACCAGCCAAAAAATAGAATCCCCTCACCTCCACTGATCAACCATAATCGAACCTCAAAATATTATGATTAACTTATTATTGATAATTAATTATTTATGATTAAAATTCATACTTAGATTGCCAAATGTAGATTGTTAATTACTTTGCAAGAGCAAGAGAAAAAAATAAAGATCAGATTTCCTTTGGCACGGCCATCATAAAAGGGTCTCGATCAGTTTTATTCTCATTGAAACTCTCGTTACGGGAAAAGTTCAGTAACAAATTCCAGGCCAATAAATGCATGTTAATGAATTTTTTGCAGAATTAAAATTAATTATCATTAATTGAATGATAAAGTAATACCAGACAGATACCCAATGCCTCGAATCGAGGACATAAGTGATAACTTACACAATAACAAATATTTCAGTGTTTTGATGTTCGATCTGGCTTCTGGCACATTCGTGTTAGAAAAGATGACGTAGCTAAAACTGCGTTCATCACTCAAAATGGTCACTATAAGTGGTTAGTCATGCCCTTTAGATTCAAAAATTATCCCTCTATTTTTCAGCGAGCAATTAGAAATCTAATCAAAAAATATTCTCTTAAAACTCTGTCACAATTATATTGATTATATAATTGTCTACTCACCTAATTTGTTAGATAAAACAGTTCTTAATTGTTTAGCGGTAATTGAGTCAATTAAATATTGACACCATTATTTTTATGACCGGAAATTTACCGTGATTACTGATCATAGTTCCTTTATTTCAATTAGGAAGATCAAGAAACCAAATTCCCGCTTATTCACTTGGGCCTTTTTACTTGGTCAACTTTGAAACACCGACCAGGTAGTGAAAATATTTAAGCTGCTTTACTGTCAAGAGAAACAATTTCAAATACAGAAATTAGATCTCCCCTTCGTCTTGTTAATTTTATTAATACTGACTTAATTAAGAATGAACAGTTAAAATTACAATCAAATCTATCACCAATTGTTGATAAAAATGGAATTCAAATTAGAATTGATAAAAATGGACTTCAAATTAGAATTGATAAAGATGGACTTCAAATTAGAATTTATAAAAATGGGAATGAGAGAATAATATTACCTGAAAATTTGAAAGCTCAGGTCATGGACATTGTTCATGAACAATTTGGTCATTTAGGAGTAAGAAAAATGATCACAGTAATTTCCTGGAAATATTATTGGCCTAAATTGACCAATGATATTATTAATTTCGTTGCTAATTGTCGACCTTGTCAATTAGGCAAAACTAAAAGAATTAAATTAATTAGTGACTTTGGACAATTTGATCCACTTAAGGATTCATTTGAGATAATTGCAATTGACACAACTTGTGGTCTAGATGGATACAAATGTAAAAAAGATGCATCCATCTAGCTGTAGATCATCGATTTGTTTGGACAATTGGTTCAAAAAATCAAATTGCATATGAATTCATCAAATTAATTGAGAAGATTTAGAGAAAAGGTTACTTATAATATTATTATTAGTCTCTCTTTCTTATCCTCTCTCTCTTTCTGTTTGCCTCTTCTCATCCTTTGGGTACTTAACCAAAACCCTTAACCATTGCAAACTATTAACAATTTGGATTTCAATTGAGATTCAATTGAGATGGTGAATCAATTTAAATTTGTTATTTAAATAACTAGGTCAACAAATCTGGTTCATCTAATTTAGTTAATCATTTATTTTAGTTAAATGGATAATTATTTTGTGTTCAATTAGTTCAATCATTTGGGTGACTAAAATTCTGGTACATATATATATATTATATAATAATAATTGTTATAAGTTGTGTTTTTATTTTGATGAGATATGAAAACAATCAATTTACCAAAATTGACCAACATCATTTTCTCATATTTTTCCTTTACCTTTGAACTTTGAGATTATCTTTCCTATTTAATACACTTATTAACCCAACTACAAAATTATCATTTGGTCAACATATGACGACCAGTAAGCTCCTTTCAGTCGTTTCAACTGACCAATGACTTTTCGTCTCATCTCTTTATTTCCGCAATTTCTCTGTCTTAATCACCTTACACTTACTTCCCCTTTCTCTTTACTCCCTCTTACTATTTACTTACCTTAGTAAGTTGATCATCCATTAACTATGCAACAAACTGGTTGTAACCATTTTAAATGTAACACCTCTCACGTGGTACCTGGTTTCTATTGGCTAATTTATTGCTGATGAAGCTGATGATGCTGAAATAGAGAGAGAAGGTTTTCTCCCTCTTGTAACCATAAATGGTCGGATTTCGGCCTTTTTTAAACATGGAGAGTTACGCTGAAAAACCTTTTGATAAATGGTGATTTTCTCAAACTATACCAACGGACAATTAATTCAAATCGACCAATCCAGTCAAACTGGCCAAATCTTAAACCTTTTCTTTGCTTGTATTTGAACCCAAACCTTGACAATGATCATTAAACTTTGGTCACACTCTTTGTACTGGTAACTTGATGAAGTTTTTACTTATTAATAAAAGTGTCGTTTATATTTAAACTGTGTATCCTCATTGTGTTAATGAGAAGAAGTAAATTTCTACTTTTGCGTCAATTCAGTTGATTAAGGAAAATCAAATTAAACCAACAAGATTAAAACTTTACATATCTCTTTATTCTCTCTCAGGCATAAATTAAAACCCAGAGAGAAAGAATAAGCGGTTAGGTTAGGCGATTTTCTCGGCCACTATCAGTCAATAAGTCGGCCGATAAGATCTGATTTTCAGATGAAGCATGGTACAGTCTCACTGGTGCACTCAACAAGCAAAGTTATAGATTCTGGAGGAAGCAGAGTAAGAAGAGGAAGAGAGTATTTGTCTTCCATTAGAAGAACCATCACTCCAATCATTGGAGTCCAATGGATGGAAGCAGAAGTGGCATTTATAACATCGGCTAAAACACCGCCTGGTGTTCGGTGTTCGGTGGGCCATCAACAATCAATTCTTTTGAATGAGCAATAGTGTCAACCGCTGAGCGAATCAAACAAGTATATTTACCAGACTCGGCAAAAGTAATTCCTCGAATCTTGAGATAACCCGGTTTATTGTCGACTGTGAATTTCCATGAGTTGTACTGATCGACTTTGATACCATTATGGAGCCAAATGAAAGAAATGTCCAGCTTGGAATCAGAATTGGCATCACAAGGCATTTGAATGGTGTCATTTACTATGGCAACGAGTTTGGGTCTTGGATATTCACCAATGTTTGGCTATCGAAGACAGTTAGATATCCTTTGCTTTGATCTCGACCATATTTGTTTCTGGCAACACAAATGTATTAACCTTCATCCTCTTTACGAACTTGATTGATTGTCAGTAATTCGGAGTTTGATCGCAATGGTGAATCATTTAGTAGCCATTGGAAAGATGGAGCTGGTAGAGCTTCAGGTGAACAAGTGATTGAAAACTTGGAGCCAAGAGCAGCGTACATATCCTTGAGTGGGTGACGTCTAAATGTTGGCTTGATACCAGATACTTTCAATTGAGCAGAACTGAAGTTGTTACCGAGTTCATTGTAAGCACGACATTGATACATTCCATTGTCTCTGTCAGGGTTAGCAGCTTCGATGGTTAGAACATTATCTTCAATCTTAATTCTTTGCGAGTCTTCTTGAGGGATGGTGTTGCCTCGAAGTTCAACTCCATTTTTGTACCAATTATATTTAACTTGGGGAATTCCAAATGCTTCACATTTCCAGATGAGGTTGGTTCCAACATCGATCACCTTATCTCTTAATCCTTTGGTAAATACAGGCAGTGATTGGACTCGGAGAAAAGTCGATGATTTGATGGATTCGGTGGATTCGGTGGGTTTGATCAGGCTAATAATAATAATCGATTATCGCACCAAGTCACTTGTCTATTGAAACTTCGAGGAAAACCAATAAAGAGACGAAAGTGTTGAACTCGAGGGTGAATAATACTTCTTTCGACTAGAAATGGAACTTTTTTAAAATTCGAAAAGTAAAAGAACAAGCAACTTTATCACTATTGTTCTCACTCGACTATGATGAGTAGACAAAGTGAACGAATGTTCTTGTGATGAATGAAAAGTTTCTCAGGCCGATTTGATTATTGATTAAAGATGAGAAAAGACCGACGCATAAGATGAGAACCAGTCGCTCATTTAAAAAAAATGATCTTCTTGCTTCTCATTGGCTGTTACATTTGTTTGGGCCTCACCCTCATTGTCGCTCTTCCAGTTACTGTTGAGTGAACCTTTGGAGTCGAATCAGGAAGAGGCGCTATTATTATTATTAACCATCGACATTAGCATCAGTGTTATGATTATGATAATGGTTATTATCATTATTATGTAAGGGAGATAAATGAATGGGAAAAGTGAGCGAGTGAGCGAGTGAGTGAGAGATGAAATTGAAAATAAAGTTTATCAAAATGATGAACAAAATCCTATAAACTTGATGATGATTACAACACCGACATGATCGACATCATCAACTTGATCATCAGAATCAGTAGTGAGTGTGAATTGTGAATTGTGATTTAAAGTAAAAGTAAAAGTAAAAGTTTCCATCTTTTCTGATCACCATCTCCATCACCATTATCATCATCATCAATAAGCATAATTATCATCGGATGTTGATTAGTTGTGATTCCAATTGATTGTAATGTTTGTGAATTAGTTACAAGTTACCAAGTGATCTTTTGCAATTAGTAAATTGAATCGATTCAAAATGATGAACACTAATTTCGACCATAGTTTCTATCAAACTGGACACGATCCTCACTCAGTTACCTACAGATTTTCGGGTGTATCTTCCTCATTACCATCGTCTTTAAGTGATCCTCATCATCCTCATTCGCATTCACATTCTCTTCCTCACCCTCACTCTCACTCTCACCACCATCATCACAACAACAACAACAACAATAGTTATGTGGACAGTTCGGCAGCTTCAGCAGCGGCCACTGCAGCAGCGACCGCCGCTGCTACTGCAGCGGTCTCAGGATCGGATGTCAATCCACCTCCTCCAAATTTTTATCCTTGGATGACTCCGATCAGTGGTAAGCATTTAACTTGAACAATATAATCCAATCACAATCACAATCTTTGACAATCGGTCAGACATAATCAATCATAACTCCAAAAAATTGATCTCTAATAAGCTTCGGCTAAATGATCTCATATGGATAACATTGAGTTCGCTTTTAAACGCTAGTCTAAACTCCCTCTCCAATAAAAATTCATTTTCTTGAAACGTTCGTAGATCTAAATTCAAGTTTATAACTCACCTGATTATTGATAATTCGAAATATAATAACAAAATTATGTGTCGATATAAATTCATTGATTCATAAAATCCAAGTTTTGCTGATTAAGAGAATAGGTTATGATTAATTACCAATTTATTGTTGACATTCGATTTATTTATCACAATCGACTTAAATTGTATTCTATTAACAATCGACGAAATTGTTGATACAAAATAGCTCCAACTCGAGCTGAACTAATCATCTACTGAGAAGGATAAATATTCATGTGAGAAGATTTTATTGTTCAAGAATTAGGAACGAATAACCTGAGAAAAGGTCAGAGATCATTCTGTTTTGACCCAATCGCTATTATATCATCTTAATTGTTTACAACTGTGATAAGATTTGGTACCTTAACCAATTGAGTTTTTCTTTACTTTTACCTCGCAAAAGAAACAGAATCAACGTTTATTTTCCAGTAACGATGTTGATTGTTTGTTGTTACTTTCGTTAAGTTTTGTTTCCTTTTTTAGATACTTTATGATGTCCACTCTTCCTGGTCAACTTTAAGTACTTTTATATGTACAAGGAGAATAGAAGACTTTAAGTTACATAATTGAATAGATTTTAAGAAAATGAAAGTGACCCGTAAAGGGCAGTAAATAACTTTCGAGATATCGACCCGACAAGAATGACCTTTTTCCTTTTCTCTTTCTTGTTGATTGTCGCCTACTTTTCTCATTATCTAATTGCAGCAACAATAATGATAACAATTAAACAATCTACTGATCGTAAAGCTCATTCAAATAGTTATTTGGTTATCTGTCTTTGTGAATTTATCAATATGATCAATGAACGATTTTACTAATTGTAATTAACTCTTATTGTGATGTTAATCTAATGATGAAAATAACAAAGGTAAATGAATGTTATTTAATTGGTTATTTTATTAATCAAAATATATCATTGATTATAATCAGTTACAGTTTGATGGATATCGTTTCAATGATTAATTTTGTCTGTTTTTATGATCGACCTCCTCTTTCATTCATAATTATCATTAACGAGATTAAATTTAAATTCAATTGCAAACAAATTGAAGGCTAATCAAAAGATTAATCTAATAATCGTCCAATTTACTCAAATCAATACTTTCGATAGTTAAATCAAATTAATTCAATTTGTTGTTTTCATTTTCATTTTCATTTCATCAACTGTTAATTCACCAATTTAAAGTTTATTACTTTATGATTTCAAATATTACGTAGGATTAAGACCAAGATTCAGATTCAGATTAAGATTAAGGTTGTTGATTCTATCGATAAGTTTTTGTCTTAGGTTTGCGTATTAACCTTTTGCCTTTGGCTATCTAATCAAATTTCCAATTACAATTATTATTAGAAAATGCGAATGCGCAAATGTTGAAATATAATATTATCATAGAACTTGAATTACAATCAATATCAACCTATACGAAAATCGACTAAATAATACAAAGAAATCGCCATTTTGAGAGATGAAAACGCCTCTCTTTTGTAATAAGAATATCTCATTGAGTAGAAAATGGTTGAAATCAATATGAATGATAGAAATTTATATTCAGCTGATTGTTGATTGATAGTTCTTATTGCTTATTCTTACATAGATGTATTTCTTTGTAAAAAAACCCTTTATATACAGTCCAGTGGAACTTTATAATAATTTACACAGATCATGTGAACATAATTTGTATGATATTCATATTTAAGATAATAATGTGGTTGAACCATCGAGCATTTCCAAAGAAAATCGAGCTTGCGATTCTCACTAAGATCCAAAACTAATTGTCGAACCTCATTTTATTAGCGAAGAGATGATATTAGCCCACATAGTATTTGTGAAGAAAATAAAAGGAGAAGATGAAGATGATAAAATAGTTTCCAAATTGATGAATCATTAAAAAGTAATAAAACAATTTAAATCTTTCCAATTCCATTAAATTAGTTTCCAATTCCTTTTCCAATTCTCTGTTCACCTTATTGATTAGTTGCACAATTTGTACCAACAAACTAAGATTTTAATTCATTTACAACTTTTAATAATAAAAAACAGAAAATCAATTATATTTCTCTCAATGGATTGTAATCCAATTTCTTACAACAAGATTACAATCAATTTCTCATTTAATTACTTGATTGTTTGTTTCTTAACCACAACAACAATCAATGTTTACTTTTATATTATCATAATCATTATCATTCTCATTCTCATTCTCAGTATTATTATTATTATTATTATACAACAAGTTGTTGATACTTAGGAAGGAAAAGAAAGTTAAAAGTTAATTAATTTGATTGTAAATTGTACATTAGTAACGGATCGTTATTATTACTCTCGTCATTATCATTATCATCCTCATCCTCATCATCTTCATCCTAATCATCATCATCATTATGATTCTTATTACCTAATTTACATGAAACATTGAGCTCATAATGTAACAATTAACATGATCATTATAATCATCATTTGATTTACTATTGGTAAATGTTATTACTCTTTCTTACCTTAACTAAATTATCATTTGTTTGTTTACATTTAGATTATTGCAACAATTAAAGTTTTCCTTTGTTTACAATTCAATTCAAAAGTAATTAGTTGATGATCTAATTAATATTTATCCATGTAATGAGTAACCTATTTCTGTTTCATTCAATAATAATTGTGAAATAATCTAAAATTCATAACAACCTTTAAATGCAACTTTACCTCGAAATCCAGTAGTTGATCTAATTAATCAATTATAATTATGACGAAAAGACTTAACTTTATGAGTTTCATCTCGTTTTTGTTTTCATTTTCTTGTTGTTTCTGTTAATTGACTCAAACTGTTAGTGACCTAATTTCGATCAAAAGTGAAGCGACATTGACACAGGAAATTCGAGACACATTAAGTTAAATTTGATTACTGTAATCATAATAAAAAAATACGAATAAAAAATCATAATAACTATAAAAGATACGGAAAGATAGAGGAACAAAAAATAGCCAAGACTACATACATTTCTAAGCGTGACGATAACGTAAAAGCTTAAAAAGTCACTTTTGTTCCAGAAAAAAAAACATTAGCACGTTCATGTTAAGTTACCGAACGGATCTCTATCTATGGGCCACAAAAGTAAAAGTAAAAGTTAAGTAAGAAAAAGCAAGAAAGAGCAGAAAAAGAAACTGAAACTGAATTTGGAGTAATATGAACGACACCCAGACATTGGTCATAAAGAAAGTGAAGTTTGTGCGCTGAAAGAAGACACATAAGAGGAAGATGAGGATGAGGAGGGAGAGGAGATGAAGGGTGGTGGTGGAAGATGATGATGGGTGGAAAAGGCAGCATGAGCAACAAATAAATGTCTAAATTGGCGAAACAAATACAACAGTATAAAGGTTTAAGGTGAATGTGTGAGATAGAATGAGAATCAAAATGAGAAGAAGAGAAAACAAATTAAAGCTTAGAAAAAGATAATTTTACTTTGAGAAGGAAAAGGAATGAAAAAAAGCAACAAAATCTTCAATTTTATGGCTTTTCCTTTGGGTTGACTCGATGTGACTTGGAATAAGCGAAAGAGAAACAAAATTTTATAGCTTTAGCTGTAGTTATATATTATACATCCATACAGATGATGATGAAGAAGATGATAGCTGAGGAAGAAAAGTGAACGAGGGAAGTTAAAAGATGATGATGATGATGATGGAGAGAAAAAGAGGAAATAAAGAATTGGATAAAAGAGCGAAGAGAAGATGAAAAAAGAACAAGATTAGCAACTTAAATTGTTCTCTCATTATTATTACGTTGGTAAGACATTTATTCATCTTCATAATTATCGTCATCGATTCAACATATTCATTATCATGATATTATCAGGGTATTGACGTAAAGAAATACATTGAATTTTGAATGAGGAAGATGAGCAAGAGAAACAATTAGCAAATATAACATTCGTATCAAGTATGAACGATATTCATTTCTCAGCTTCTTATTTTCAATCATCAAATTCATGGAGGAAGTGATGAGCTTTTTTTTGTTTCTGTTGAAAAAAACACTAATATTTGCAAAGGAAAAAGTTATTCCGTGATAAACTTCAATAAATTACCTTGGAACTCAACATGATATTGACAGACATTGGCAAACATTATAACATTTACTTTGATCCTCATCATCCTTTAGCATCATCATCATCATCATCATCATCTGTTACCTTGGTAATATATTTAAAGTTATCGGTTAACTTTTCAGACTTTTCCTTTACTCTGATTGTATTTGACAAAAGCTAAATTCATGATTAGCATGGTGATCATCATATTCAGCTAATTATTGTTCATTTAGCATTCGTACAAGGTAACAAGCTACTATCATATTTTATTGCCGATTCACCTTGTGAATTACTGAACAATTTGTTTACATGTGTATCACTATCATCATGAAATCATCTTCATTAAATCACCGTTATTAATTATCTCTAAATTGTGATTAAAATTCTTATCACATTACCCTTGGATATTTTATCGTTCACTATCATTTATTAATCTCTCATCAACACATAATCAATATAAATCATTAAAGAAAAATCAACTTTTCTGTTTGTTTTTTTTTTCTTCATCATCATCTCATTAATTGCATCATTTTTTTTTCTTAATTGAAAAGATTTGATTTAATCAAGAATTATCAAAAGGTCTCGTTAATGTTATCGTTAATAACGATTAACTTGTTTTTTTATCTAGTTAACAATTAAGACACACTAAATACTGGTTAAAGTTAATGATCCAATCAATCTAAGTCAGTAGCAACAATTAGTTAACAAGCTGATTAGATAAAAGAAAACAAAAAAAAAACTAATTGTTTGCAAATGTAAATTGCTCAATTCTCAATCGCTAATTGTTTCAAAGGTTTTCAATTGAATTGTAAGTTAAATACAATTTTACACTCGATGACACCTCGATCATCAGTTTGTTTATGTTTATCATCGTTAATTATTACAATAACTAACGATTACGATAATAATACGATTGAGCTTCGCTCTGAGCAGTTTGTGACCTTGTCAATGATTGAGATTGATTTATATTGACATCCGTTTATGCAGCTTCCTTAAGAATTACAGATTCAGAAGATGAAAAAAGAATAAAATAATTTTCTTAGTCTGGCCTCATCTCTCTCTCTCTCTCTCTAATCATAATCATCTCTTTAAATGTTCAGAATTCTGTTCTGGCGCCAACTTTTAAATGCTTTTTGAATTAACTTTTACGATCGTTTTTTGCTCTTCTTTTTTTCTCTCAAATTACTTTTCATTATCAACTTCCCGCGTTAGTTAATCATCGTCATTATTTTTTTCTCTTTCTTTTCTTTCTTCAAATTCTCTTGCAATCTAATCCTCTAGCATTTTCTTTCGTTTATCAAAAAGCATCATCTTCATGATTCTCCTCCTTTTCTCAAGAATATTTTTCTTCCTCTCTCATCATTTTATTTAATCCGTTTTACTATTTTATCTTTTTCTCTCTCTCATTCTCTTTATTTCTTTCTCTCCCTCCCTCTCTCTCTCTCTCTCTTTCTTGAACAATAGATGATATTGCAGCAGCAGTTCATCATCATCATCAGCATCTTCATCATCCTGAAGCATCATCTTTACTTCATCACCCTTTCTTACCGAGCAATGGTGTTACTCTTGACTGGTCCAGTCCTTCAGCTGTTGCTTTCTCAGCGGCTGCAGTTTCAGCTAATAACAATAGTCTCCTCTCTGGTTCAACTGTTGCATCTTCAACCAATGGGCCCCTTGGAATGGGAATCGGCAGCGGAGGAGGAAGTGGTGGCAGTGGAGGTGCAAGTACAAACGGTAACAATAGTAGTTCATCCAATGGATTATTAACTCCAAGCCATCTTCATCCTCATTTCACTTCTCATCATCATCATCATCACCCTTCTTTAACATCTCACCTTAATCACCATTCATCGTCTCATAATCAAACTTCATCTTCAACTAATCATCATAATCATCATCACTCACAAAGAAAGAAACGTAAACCCTACACCAAGTACCAAACAATTGAATTGGAAAAAGAGTATTTCCAGAATCATTATGTTTCCAAACAGCGGCGATTTGATTTGTCTCGTTCATTAGGATTAACAGAAAGACAGGTTAAGATATGGTTTCAAAATAGAAGGATGAAAGCAAAGAAAACAGATAAACGAGACCATCATCGTCGACATCACCACCACCCTGAGATGAAATTCAATAGAAATTCAGATTAGGATGAAAAAGAAGAAGAAGAAGAAAAAAACTTTTCAATTTCGAGGATCCCAATTGATTTACATTCGACAATAATAACAAACTCCCGTCATTAAAGTACATGAAACTCCTCCTCGGACATAAAATCTACTCTGAAATTAGATTTAGATTGAGATAAAAGTTCAGTCGATCCCCATGAATATTTTCATTTATCAGTTTATAGGATGAGAAACAAGAAAATAAGTCAAACACTGAATTGGAATATAAATACATCAAAAGTATAGGTTGATTTGAATTACTTTAAGTTCAAATACACCCTATAGGTTTGGATACTATATTCGAGAAGATGATAACCAAAGAGAGAGAGAGAGAAAAGTAAGAGACTGGGCGATTCTCTCTCTCTCTCTCTTTCTTTCTTATGTTTTCTTCAATTTCGAGTCTCTGAATGATTTTCGTCTTCTTCATTTCCTTCATTCTAATTACTTAATTGATTTACTTTTTCATGTGTTTCTACAATCTGATGATGATTATTGTTCTCATTCTTGATTGTGTTCACTTGGTTGATTCTGTTTCTCATCAATTTTACCAACAATCAACTAATTTCCTGATCCGTTTTCCTCCTCCATGTAATTGTAAATAGTTAATAACAATAATATAATTTATAAACAATTGTAACTCCAATTTGTTTCCAATCATTTCGTGATCAACCAACATGATAGATTAATTCACCCAATCAACTATTCATCAATTGATATCTTAACTATTAAACATATATAACATTTATCATCTCAATGAGACACTAATTGTCTCTAGATGTCATCTTAATCACTTGATGGCAATTATATTTAGCTAAACAATCAATAAATTAAAGTGGATCAAGCCAATTGCATTTCCATTTCTTGGTGAATAATCAACAAATCTCACGATTAGAGTCAATCAAAATCATTTGTATTTTAATTCATTCATTAGTTTTTACTTTAAAATAACAACACGCTGAGTGAAACAATTAACTAATTATTTCAATTTTCCAGAAACAATCAACAATCAAGGAGGTGCTAAGGGCTCTTGTGGATGGAAATGAATAAATTAAATTGTTAAACGTGTGTGAGTGTCTGTTGATTTAGTTAATTTAATACTTTCTGTTGATTCACATGAATTATTACGTTAATTGTATACTAATCACAAATGATAATCATATCCAAGTAATAAAAACTCCAACGTAATTAAAATTGTAAAAGGTAATTGAAACAACAATCAAACCATAGGTTAACATGATTATCCAAAAGTTTCATTGAACTGAATTAACACTTAATTTCTTTGTTTGTTAATAACCTTGTAAGATGTTAATTAATAAGTAACATTTTCAATAGCAAATTAATTTAAGATTTTAATTAGTTAATCTAAATCAATCTCTCACGTAAGCTTATCTTATTGATTATTTGTCCTTGTTGATTATGATTCAATACAATTTTGGTTCAATATGATTGGAATCAATTTTGATAATAATTATATGTTTACGTTGATAAATTGTTTAGATTTTATTATTTTGGTAAAATTGGTTAACTTGTTAATCAAAATATATCATTGATTATAATCAGTTACAGTTTGATGGATATCGTTTCAATGATTAATTTTGGCTGTTTTTATGATCGACCTCCTCTTTCATTCATAATTATCATTAACGAGATTAAATTTAAATTCAATTGCAAACAAATTGAAGGCTAATCAAAAGATTAATCTAATAATCGTCCAATTTACTCAAATCAATACTTTCGATAGTTAAATCAAATTAATTCACTTTCTTGTTTTCATTTTCATTTTCATTTCATCAACTGTTAATTCACCAATTTAAAGTTTATTACTTTATGATTTCAAATATTACGTAGGATTAAGACCAAGATTCAGATTCAGATTAAGATTAAGATTAAGGTTGTTGATTCTATCGATTCTATCGATAAGTTTTTGTCTTAGGTTTGCGTATTAACCTTTTGCCTTTGGTTTTTTAGTCAAAATTTCCAATTACAATTATTGTTAGAAAATGCGAATGCGCAAATGGGTAAATATAATATTATCATAGAACTTGAATTACAATCAATATCAACCTATACGAAAATCGACTAAATAATACAAAGAAATCGCCATTTTGTGACCCAATAGAACATCTCGATTGATGTTATCTTATTCATCTTTTGCTTATTTGTTGTTGGAACTGAACTCGAGCTTTTGAACTAGAGAAACGTAAAAACAAATTAGTTACTCTGTGGTCGGTGATTTCGAGAGCTAATTCGATGTGAACTGTTATATGGTTTAAGTCCAAGAACATCTGAGAGAAAGAAGAAAATAAAAGGAGAAGATGAAGATGATAAAATAGTTTCCAAATTGATGAATCATTAAAAAGTAATAAAACAATTTAAATCTTTCCAATTCCATTAAATTAGTTTAACTTTTCTAATTCTCAGTTCATCTTATTGATTAGTTGCACAATTTGTACCAACAAACTAAGATTTTAATTCATTTACAACTTTTAATAATAAAAAACAGAAAATCAATTATATTTCTCTCAATGAATTGTAATCCAATTTCTTACAACAAGATTACAATCAATTTCTCATTTAATTGTTTGATTGTTTGTTTCTTAACCACAACAACAATCAATGTTTACTTTTATATTATCATAATCATTATCATTCTCATTCTCAGTATTATTATTATTATTATGATACAACAAGTTGTTGATACTTAGGAAGGAAAAGAAAGTTAAAAGTTAATTAATTTGATTGTAAATTGTACATTAGTAACGGATCGTTATTATTACTCTCGTCATTATCATTATCATCCTCATCCTCATCATCTTCATCCTAATCATCATCATCATTATGATTCTTATTACCTAATTTACATGAAACATTGAGCTCATAATGTAACAATTAACATGATCATTATAATCATCATTTGATTTACTATTGGTAAATGTTATTACTCTTTCTTACCTTAACTAAATTATCATTTGTTTGTTTACATTTAGAGCATTTAAAAGATAATTAGCAATTAATCTCAGCAATCATTTCTGTTCACACCGAATCAAAACTCCATAGAAATTGTTATTTTCACCAAGAGATATCAAAATACTTACTAAACTTGAATCTTAAACTAAAACTTTCGTGTTTAGATTTTGTTAGAAAATGGTGACATTGGCTGATCGCTGACCAATGGACTGGACAAGAAGGTCACGGATTTATTGTTATCATATTAACATTACAAAGGTTCTCGGTTATCATAATATTTTCGCGAAACTATAAAAACAAGTAACAAATGTTAACAATGATCTCGACAGAATAGTCGAAAAGACTTAGATCAATGAGAGAATCGAAAGAAAGTAGTAAAAAAGGTCAATTCTCATATTCTAATGCATCCAAATGATTATCTCTTTTATTCAGTTCAGTAAAAAGTTGATAAGTTTTATCTCCAATGTGATGGATTAATTGCAAATTAAAATCGAAAAAAAAAGTTTGCGAATTTATTATTGTTATCATATTTTATCGTGATGATGGAGGCAAAAGAATCTTCATCAATGAAAGTTACACCTTCAAAGTAAACTCTGTCTATCTTTGTATCTGCCATAACAATCATTTTGTCAACCCCTCAGGGCATCGGTTACTCAACCTTTTAGTTTTCTCTTTCTCTGTGTTACCAAATTTATTCATTGTTGTTTTAAGTTTACTTTTCTTCTGATTGTTTGACCTCACCTCGAGCTATAACTTTTTATGGGTCAACCTTTCAAGTCGAAAGGTAAATGGTCACATTAATTGTTTGAATAGAAACAATTGATTACTCTGGTATTTTTAGCTCTCGAATCAACAACCGACTCATGTTTACTTAATCAGTACAGTTGTAAATGTTAATCATTGAAAAGTTTTAATTATCTCACTGAGAATGTAAATTAACCTGATTAAGCAATCGAATCCAAAGACTTTCAAAGCTTCATAATGATAATTGAACAATTAAAATGATTTTATTAAAGATAAAAATGATGGAAGGATTTTAAATGATGGAAAAGGATAATGATAAATAATGAGAAAAATAGAAATGAATGTCCAAGTTAATGAGAGAAAGTTCGAAGGGTTCACTCGAAGGGATTTTCTGTCCAAATCGAAAATGGTTGGAAATAAACACGTAAAAATGAAATAAAATCGAGAGGATTAAGAGATGAAAGGAGAGATGGGAAGAGATAATTTTGTTGATTGTGATGATGGAGAAGATAAAGAATATTGTGAGTACAATGAACAAAATCGATTCCCATCGAATCTGTAGGACACAAAATGGATCCTGAAAATCTCAAACCTATACAGTTAATCCATCAAACCGTAAAGAACAATTTCTTTCCACTCCTCCTTCTCCTTCATCATTTTATCTTCTTTTAGTCTCAACATTTTCTATCGCTTTATAATCACCATTTTGTTTTTTCCCTGAAAACACAATGGAGTTTCACAATGGAATGCACAATAAACCGTAATTAGAAGTTACAATTACTATTATTTTCTAAAAATTACTTTTTTCTCTTCAATTGTTTTAGTTTAAAAAAAGATTGGGAAGGAAGATCAAAAGATTGAGGAAAATAATCAATGAACTTTTGAAGTAGATTTGAGGTTTTCTTTTTTAATCTCTGTGGATGGAGATTGAGATAAAAAATGAATAAGTCAATCTGAATGTTCGTCGTTAATTTGTATTGGTTCCGATGTTGAGAGATGACAAAGAGCGAAGACCAAATCAGCAGCAACATTTGAAGGTTTTCCTGAGAACTGAATATTCATCAAGTCAGAATTTAAAGATCTCAGAAAATCATGACGATTTGTTTTGATTCAGTCATGAGGTTTTCATTAAAAAAATCGGAAAAAGTTATTTTATTTTGTGAATTGATGAGCGATTGTCAATTCAAATGACCTTCGTTCCTATGCTTGTGCTTTCATCTTACAAAGGTACCGTAAGTGTAAGACTTTTACATCTTGATCTGAGTCCATTTGACAAACACCATCAACACCATCGATACTTAATAAAACACCAGTTTGCTCTCTTTCTTCACCGAAAATCACTTTAATCTGGAAAGATGATAAGAAAATGATTATTAATGAGAATAAATAAAACTTTGTATGTAAATAGTTAGTTTTAAATCTTGAAAAACTTACCCTATCTTTAGGTTCTGGGGAAATTGGTTCTAATTGATGAGGGAAACAATTGACCACACGATCTTCTCGTATAAGAAAAACGGAAACCATTCCACCGTTGATTCCAGTGATTTCACCAGTTTGTCCAATAAGATCACTATCAGGGTTTTCTTTTATTCTTACTACAATATCAGTTGTTAGCCAGTCGATGTTGATTTGATCCATGCCAGTTCCTGGTGTTTGTGGGTTGAACATTGGTGATGGTGCTCCAGGAGTCATGGGAGAGTAGCCAGCGAATTGTGGACTTGGTGTCATACCTCCAGATCCATAACCTCCTGGATTTGGTGACATGTAAGATCCACTAGCAGGACTTGGTGCAGACTCTTGATAACTGGCCTCTGAAGGGGAGGGTACGGGTTGGTATGGGGAGTAATTATGGTCAGAAGTGTACATTCCGGGTGTTTGAGGTGTGTATGCCCCGGCCTGAGGAGTGTCTGGACCTGTGTAACCTGGAGTAGGTGGATTATGATAACCACCAGGATTTTCAGCACTCCAAGCATCATCATCAAAGTTCGGTCTCGGAGTGGCTCCAGTATTAGGATCCCAAACGGAGCTACCGCCGTGCATTGGAGTTCGTGAGCCATCGTGCATTGGAGTTTGACCACCTCTACCTGGTGTTCTACCACCCAATTCATATGATGGTGTTTGAGATCCATACATTGGTGTTCGGGCTGAATATGTTGAAGCACTTCCTGTACGTTGACCAGTGGTTCCACCGACCACATCAATACGAAGTTTATCTACATTGATAACTTGACATGTTGAGTGAAGCTCCACTCGAGCCGTTGTTGACATTGCATCTTTAACAATACCAATATGACCTTTGTATGGACCTTGAATGATTTTGATAGTTTTACCAATTAAATCTAAATCTGAACGATCTCTACCTCCCTTGTTAGCACCAAATGGTCTTTTCCCTCCACCACCTCCACCACCACCAGGATGAGCCGGTGATTGAAGTCTCGGAGACATGAAAGGAGCAGCTCCTCTTCCAGCGGACACAACAGATGTAGATCTTGAGCCTCCAGATAGCTGAATGTTTCTAGTCTTGCAAACAAATATACCACCATTTTCCATGTGTAAACGATCATGAATGAATGCGTAGTTACGGTAGAGATGACGAATTTCTCCTTTTCGTCCAGAATGAGGTCCATCAACCACTTCAACGTGGTCTTTAACTTGAATTTGACTCTGATCACAGTCCAATGAAACAGCTTTACGAGTATCACGTTTATTTTTAACCGCTTGATGTTTGATATGAATTAGTTTCCCATGCATATCTAAAATTTGGAAATTTTCTTTCTCAAGACGCACAATCACTCCGACAGTTTGACCATCAAGTTGAACTAAATCTCCCCATTGATATTGTCCAAGACTGTCCACACCAGTGGCCATATCAGGACTAAGTTGAAGATCTTTGGGTAAAACTTTAATCTCGTGCATGGATAAATCAGAAAATAGAATAATTTGATTTTCTATCACTCGAACAACTAAACCAGTATCTCCTTCATATCTGCCAGCAATTACTTTAACATGATCACCAACACGGAAATATTTTTTCAATTCATGAGCTTGGAATTCAAGTGGATCCTTGAGATCTTCATGATTCGGTATCATGGTGATTTTACTTCCATCGACAGCGACAACTTTACCTTGCAGGTGAACCAATTCACCCTCACAAACTTCAACATTGTCACCTGAACAAATGCCATGAGATTCTTCATCATCAGCTGCACTTTCGTTGATTTCCACACCTTCAGGATGTTCCTCAAACTTTTCGAGCTCAGCTAAAGTGGGTTTAACACCGCTGATTATGAGTGAAGCGATTGGAAAATTTTTATACAGAAAACCTCGTCGATATCGATTACCCTCGAAAATGACAAAATCTCCATCATTACTGACTTCACCTCCGATTGAGCGAATGGCATCAATATCGAAAAGTTTAGCTGGTGGACGTTTGGTTCTTTTTCTTTTAGCGATCTCTGTTTCCGTTGTTTTCAGAGCTCCTCTTTTCCGTGTGTAATCAATTCTTGGAATTAACTTAAGATGGACTTGTCCTTGCGCCGTGTCAACATAATCAACTTGAGCTAAATCATCTTTGTAAACCGATCTTTTCAGTCTAACCCAAGTTCCTGGTTTGATTAGAGCTTGTTCTTTGGTGACTTTAAGAACATCAGTCATTTCATGAATCGGTACCATAGTTTGTTTGTATTGCCCCATTCTGAGGTTACCAATTCCAGTGATTGCTTGTTTAACATGAGTTTGTTTGTAAGCCTCAATGTAAATGTAACCTTTGATTCCTTCAGGAGCAACAACTGATTTAATCAACAAAGGCTCTTCAGTGGTGGAATAGGCGATAAATTTTCGCATAATTTGAAGTACTGTTGCCTTTTCATCTCCGGGTTTACATTTAACCATCCAAAGATTGGGGTCTTTAACTCCGGGCATGAAAGCTTGTTGGGCAATATCATCGGGAAGATCACCTTCAGCATCATAAAGACCTTTTTCGGCCGCTGTTGTCTCGGCATATTTCCTTTTGTAATATTCTTCAATCTCGTCTTCATTTTGATTATTCAGCATCATTTGTAATCTACGATGACTGTCAAGCTCTCGAGATGAGCTTGACTCACTAGGTCTATTTCTTTCGATAATATCTTCTGCTCCTTCTTCCCATTCTTCATCTTCCTCAACCTCATCATCAACTTCAGCCTCATCCAAAATGAAACCACCATGGCGAGGCTTTTTCTTGGGTCTTCTTCTCCCAGTGGTTTCTTCTTCTTCATCTTCGTCCTCCTCCTCATCATAATCGTCCTCTTCTTCTTCTTCTTCCTCCTCGTCTTCATCTTCTTCTTCTTCACCACCTTCTTGATTGTCATCATCGTCTACCTCATTTTCACCACTGTAGTCTTGATCATCATCATCAGCATCATCGGTAATCCTGGACATGGTGACCTGATGAAACTCACAACACAAGGATAAATAATCAACAATTAACAACAAAAAAACTGACAATCAGTGAACACAAGTCGTGAAAATAAAAAGCTAAAATGTTTTGTGATAATTTCCAATTGAAAATTCAACAATAAATGAGAAGAACCAGGGACCGAATAATAATAAAATTTTTTATTCTTTTTTTGTAAACAGAAAAATAGTACGACCCCTGAAGTTTCAACAACAAATTGTTGTCAACAATTAATTACCAGTGAATCCAAAGTGTTGCGAGTAAGTTAATTAGAAAAATTATTTTATCTTTTAATTGATGTTCTTATTTTCTGTTTCTGAAATTATGTCGACCTTATTTCTATTCTCTAGTGAATTCTATTGTTGGAAAGGAAACCTCCAAACGAGGCAAGAAGAAAAATTTTGTTCCAATCTTAGATTTTGATAACAACATTTTGTTACCCGGTGAGTATTTTTTTTATTTATTTTGTATCTTTGCTGGTGACTAATTATTTGTTTTACTTTTTTATTAACTTGGTTGTTAGGTCGTCATCCCTGTGACTGTGAAGCTTCTGCTCATAAATTGATCAACAACTGTACATCTTGTGGTCGGATTGTCTGTGAACAAGAAAGGGTTGGCGATTGTTTCACTTGTGGTGAATTTGTTAACGATAAAGAAATTGAAAGACAAAATGAAGCTGCTGCTGCAAGTGTTGCTGCCTATTTGAGCTCATCCCATCAGGGTAAAGAGAATGAAAAAAAGAAGAAAGTTGAGAAAAATAAGCGAGAAGGAATCAGAAATATCGCTGCTAGTCTAGAAAAAGCTGTTCAACATAAGAATACATTGTTAGAATATGATCGTACGTGTAAACAACAAACGCGTGTAATTGACGATGAAAGTGATTATTTCAAGTTGACATCTCAACACTGGTTAAGTCAAGATGCAAGGGACAAAATTGGGCTAAAATTGATCAACTGCAAGAGAAAAAATTCGCTAAAGACCGAACCCTTACACTAGATATTGTTAACCGAAGGTTTGAAGAGAATGTGACCCCCGTTATCGCTGATGTTAGTAAAGTGGTCAAAGAAATTGAAGACGACGCTGCTTATAAATCAGATTATGTAGTCGTGGATAGTAAAAAGATCAACATCAATGAGAAATTACCCCGAGCAGCTTATTGTGAGAAAGAGAAAAAGAAAGAAGTAACCAAAAAGGGGAAGCAGGCCAAAAACGATAAGACAATCGAACCAACAACTTCTTCAGCTCCGATTAGACTGAATTCCTCAATTTTCAGTAACAATTTACGACTTCAAGGTCCTGAATTGATGGAAATGAGCGATTCCGGTGTATGTTTAACCATTCAACAACCGTGGGCATCATTGGTCATCTCAGGAATCAAACTTCACGAAGGTCGCAGTTGGTACACACATTATCGAGGTCGTATTTGGATCCATGCATCAGGAAAAATCGTGACTCAAGATGAAATCAATGAGGCTGAAAAAATCTTCTCTCTAATGACCAAAACTAATACAAAATTCTCAATAGATTATCCAAGATCTCTATTGCTTGGATGTGCAACTCTCAAAGATTGTCTACCACAAGAAGAGTATAAAAAATCAGTTGAAAATCCCTACATGGAATCGACTTACGTTTGGATATTAGAAGATCCTATTAAGTTAAAGGTCAAAATTCCAATGGATTCGAAATCAAATCGACTTTTTAATTTGGACGATCAAATTCTGAAAGCTGCATCGAAACAACTCAACTTCTCTTTATAATCAATCAGAAATTTCGTTAAATTGGATACAATATTTTAATATTTAAAAAGAATCTAAGATTCGTGTTGAATTAACTTAATTGCTCTTTTCAAACAATTTTTACGCTCATAAATTGGGAACAGCAGAGATTCAATTATAATGAATCATCTTCTTGTTGAATCAATTTTCATTTGATAGAAAAGTTTAGCAAAACTGAATTAATAAGTTTATGGAAAATTTAGATTTGCAACAATTAATAGAAACTTAATTATCCAAAGTTGATTTTTTCGTACCGAAGGTTAAATGACTTTTGAATTTGAATTGAAGGAAAAACAAAAGTGTTCAGTCTCAATCTGAAAATTAGATTAATTTATTTATATAATTTATTTGATTTATGATTTAAAAAGAAACATTTGATTATAATTGTAAAATAAGTCAATAAATACTAATTTAGCTTCGATTAACATGCTAAATGGAATGATAACAAGAAATTACGAAATAATTGATTAACTGTGATAGGAGAGAAATTAATTATATTTTTTGTTGTACTTAAGTCTTGACTCTTTTCCATTGATTTTCTCACTGTGACCAAATTGTTGATATGAAAGAAAAGTTGAATCACTGGTTTCGAGGAAGATACAAGTGAATTTTATCAACTCAAGGTGATTAATTAATGCGACTTATTTATGGTATTTCTCTGGACGATTTAAAAGTATGAAGATCAGCTCGAATTTCACCTTCATCGGATGAAGAAAAATTATCAACACCCTGTCGAGTTTTGTTCAATCGTCCTCGTCTCTTTTTCCTTGGAACATGTTTATGTGAATTGGAACTATTTTCATGCACTGAATTAGAATCTTCAGCATTATTATTGGCACTATTTGATTGAAAAGACTTGAGTAACGGTGAATATTGACTATAGTTCCGTCGACTACCATGAGGTAAGTCTACTGAGCTGAATTTACCATCTTTGAAAAAGTTGATCATGAAAACACCGGCGATCACAATGACAAAACCAGCTAAAGTTCCAACTATATCTTCAGCTTTCATGTTGTTCCATTCTTGGAAGAGTATGGACGAAGCAATTAGGACAAAAGTCGTAAAGAAAACATAATAAATCGGAGTAACAACTGTTGCATCAAAAATATCGAGAGATTTGTTTAGATAATTCATTTGAGTGGCTATGGTGATGATCGTGCAAACCAAAAGGAACCAGAAAAGTCCTCGTTGAAAACCATTGTTGATTCCGGAAATTGTTTCGGTCAACGCTAATCCAAGGCCTTTACAAGACATCACTGAAAGCGATCCAATTAGTGAACAAATAGCGATATAAACTAATACGTTCTTATCGCCACTTTTAGGAGCAACAAAACCAATCAGAATGGAAGAAGCAATGAGAACGAAAAGAAGGTAAATAATAAACGCTGGTTCGGTCAGCATAGTGTTTAATTGTTCCATGCTCTTAATTTGCCCTTCTTTTGGTGCATGTAAAACAATTACAGTAGAACCAAAGATGCAATTTACACATCCAATCGTAGTTAGTATATTGAGCTCTTCTTTAAGAAATTTAGTTGCCAGTAAAGCAGTGACTAGAACTGAAGATAAATTGAAAAATTTAATGTTAGCTTTTTGTTTGTTCAAATCGAATTAGAATTTTATCAGTAATTACCTGATAAAGCTCCTAATGGAGTAACCAAAGATGCGGGTGCGAATGCATAAGCTATAAAATTGAACAATTCACCGAAACCCACTGAAAGTGAAAGATGGAAAAACAATTGATTAAATGGTTGATTTCAATGGTTGAAAGAAATAAACAGAGATGCAAATGTAAATAGGGAAAAACTTACTGCATAAGAAACCAGCCCACCAAACCCAATCTTTTAGGTAACCATATCCACCAGCACCAGCACGTAATGAACCTTTACGATTTAGTCTACTGAGACCAACTTTCTTAATTATGAAACTGGTGCCAATAAAAATTGTCGAGGTAATTGCCAACACTAATCCAATTAGAAATCTTTTCTTACCAAGAAACGATTCTTCCATGCCAAGAGAAATTACCGGTATATCATCATCTTCCTCATCAACAGTACCTACTCCATCCAAAAAAGACATTAAAAAGTAACTAATTTAATATAAAAGGTCACTAATTAAGAAAAACAAAACAAGAAATTAGAAATCAATTCAGTTGTTGATGAGAAAAATATTTGACTATTTCCACGAAAATCTCTGTAAGTTTAGATTCGAAAGCTAAACGTCGAGCAAATTTAGAAAGCGACCCATTTGAATATTAGCGTTTTCGTCATTGCGAATTCGTCATTTTCTTGATCTGAAAGGTCACTTTTCAAAAAGCGTCAAAATCGTTTTTGTAAAAGAATCGATCATTTATTAATGGAATTAATTCAATTACCAACAATAATCGTCAAGAGTAAATGAGATTAAAATTTTCTTTTTCCGTTAAATTGATCATGAAAAAGAAACAATCTAATTAAGTTTAATTCATTAATTTAGATAATGAAAAACGTGGCAAATTGGATAAATTCAAATTGATGATAAGTGAACCATAAAAGTAATCATAGTTACTAATAAGCTCGTAATTTGCAAATTCGGTTAATTGAAGCCAATTAGGTTTGCTCACGTAAAATTACATGTAATTGAATTTGATGTAAATGCAATATTTATAAATGAAAGGATGAAAAAGGATGAGAAAGGATGAGAGATAGAGAGCGTTAATAGAATACACTAGAGTACAGATATAATTTGATACAATATGAAAATGTAAGTCACTGATACGATGAATAAATATCAACTAGACACAAGCCATGGATGCGCTGCGATAGCGTCTTTGTTTCTTTCACCGTAATCATAAAGCAATTCCTCTCCTGGTTCAATGTCACGAAGAGTGATGAAAATCAGATGAGGAACATCGTCAATTGGAAATACTTTGGTCTTTAGATTAGGAGATTTACGACTATGATTAATTAGACGGCCAATTCTTTCCGTGGGTTTGGTTGCATCAACACAATAACGTCTATTATTCCAATCAAAGAAATACATATAACAGCCAAATTTTTCCTTTTCATATTCTTGTTCTCGAGTCTGTGAATAGAAGTAAAAATGAAAAGATAAACAAATAAGAAAGTGAGTTCATTTCAAATCTCTTATGAACAACATTCATGAGACAGAACAAAAAACCAACAAGTATAGAACAATATAAACGATAATCAACTTACTTTTGCTTCGGAAATTTTAATTAGATCACCAGAATATTCACAAACGAAACTTCCTTTGCTTATTTTATTAACACAAACAACACCTTTACCTTTTTCTTGAGATTCAATAATCTTAAATCCTTTCGGATCAGTTTTACCAATCAAATGATGTTTAATCTTTTTCTCCTCCTGTTGAACAAGAACCTTAAATGGTATTCTTTTAGCTCGTGTAAAATAATCACTAATAAGTTTGACAGGTTGTTTAGTAGATTGTTTTGAATTGACTTGTTTTTTAGATTCTTTTGTAGATACTTTTTTAGATTTTTTTTTACCTTGTTTTCCAGCTTGTTTAGTCTCTTCTTTAATCTCAATATTTGACATTTCAAAGCATTTGTTTACAAGAGAATAAAATAATTCGATTCAACTAATCAAAGATAAAATAAAAAGAATAATTAAAAATTTTCCAAAATTGAATTAAACAACAATTTAGATGAGAAGCAACGGAAATGCTGAAGAGCTTTAAAAGAGAATCAAATTCTTTGTTATTGTTAACTGACATTCTTCGATAGTATCGATATCGAATTTCGATTAATCGATGTTCGGAGAATCTGATGTTCCCTTGTGAGCGAAAGCAACAGCCTGATGATTGTCTGATTGTTAGTCACCTTCTCTTGATTGTTTGGGTTTAGTGTTTTTCTTTTTTTTTTGTTTGTTTTTTTTCTCTAATTGTTTGGCCTCTGTTTTCTGTTTTTGGTTTACTTTGGTTATGGCTCGGGATCGACTTGCAGCTCTAAGGGCTGCTCGTGGTGAATCTTCGGATGAAAGTGGTGATGGAAGTGAAGTGATGATCAAACTGGAAGAAGGACCTAAATTCATGGAAAGTTTTTTTAATGAGGTAACTATTATACAGGAAACATTGGATCATCTGTGTTCTCAAATAGAGGAGATGAAAAAGTTTTCTGCTGCCATTGCCTCGCCTTTAAATGAAAGTGGTGATGAAGATTTGGAGGCTCTTATGTCATCGATTAAAAAATCAGCGACAAAAATTAAAAATAAGCTTAAGGATATAGAAAATTCAATGATTTCCATGGAGGGTGTCGATAAATCATCTGCACTTTATCGGATTAGATTTACCCAACATTCAGCTTTATCCAAACGCTTTGCTGATATCATGCATCAATACAATAACGCACAGATTGAATATAGAGAAAAGTGTAAACAAGTTATCAAGGCGCAATTAGAAGTTACCGGAAACAGTACCACCGATGAAGGATTGGAAGAATTGTTGGAAAGTAAAGATCCAGAAATTTTCACCCAACGTATTTTAGCCGATTCGAAAGCAGCCAAGCAAACATTGGCTGACATAACCGCTCGTCATGCAGATATAATCAAACTGGAGAAAAGTATCAAAGAGCTTCATGATCTTTTCCTGGACATGGCGGTGCTGGTTGATTCTCAGGGAGATATGGTCGACCGGATTGAACACCAAGTCGTTGAAACCAAAAATTATGTAGCCAAAGCCAATGAAGAAACAGCTAAAGCAGTGATCTACCACAAAAAGGCTCGTCGTAAAAAGACTGTCATCTACTTATGTTTAATTATTATCCTCATAGTAATTATAACCACAATTACATTATCTCTACTAAATTAAATGAACACTAATTCGGAGTTCACATGTAAATACAATTGTCTGTGAGATGTTTTCATATCTAATTGAAAGCCGCCTACTACTAACATCATCAATCTATTTTATTTCTGATCCATATTTTATATAATCATCATCATTTATAATCAAAAAGAGATAATTTATATTTTTAGGGTAGAATAAAAAAGTAAAACAAAACAATCAGAGAAAAGATGAAATCATCAAGATAATCATTCTCAATTCTATTCACACAAAACTAAACACCCGAACTTCAAATTATTGAGACTATGTTCAATTCTACTATTTATTTTACCGATGGAAATTTTAATTATAATCACAAATCGAAATAAAATTTAATTACGAAAATGTGAATGAGACAAAATAAAGATTAATGATCAAGACAGAAAATCAAATTGTTATCAAGACTTTTTTTTTACTGGAAGAGTTAATTTGATACACGAAAAAATTTCCTTTTAGTAAATTTGGAAATTGTAACAGTTTAATCAATGGCGAAAATTGTAGTTAATTAAGACACTTGCTATTACTTGTTGAATGAGTTAAACTATTGATTGATTTAGTTTCTCAAATTTGTTCACAATTTGTAATTCTCAGGCAGATGATCAGGATAATTGTTACATTTACAATTTGATAAATTATCCAGTTTTTTTTGTTGTGATTCTGTTTACAAATTGTCATTGAAAATCCCATGAAATTGATTAACCAACTTTGAAGGTAACCTTAATTGTTGTTAATTGAATATAAACATAGAACCAACGGTTTGATATATTTTTGTTACAAAATGATAAACAATTAGAGTAAGAGAGAGAGAGAGAGAAACAGAAAGTCATCAACTATCCCGATTTAATATTGTCAGCAAGTTTGTACCACTATCCAGTTTCTTTAATTGTTTGATGAATTTATGGTTAAGTAATTGTGCAGCAGACGGTCTGAGTAATTGTAAACATCCAAAGAGGAAGCGTTACCATTTAATAGCATCCAAATTGATTAGTAAAAGTACAAGAGGTAAAAAAAGATGAATCAAAATTAATAATCGTCGATTTAAATTCTCGCAATTAATTAACTAACCTTTTGTATGGATCATGATGGAGACAAAGATCAACAGTGAATGTATGAAAATGAGAACTGAATCGTCGATTTCGATAAGCTTCGTATCTAAGCCGTTCTTCTTCATTTAAATCTGAAACAAGAGAGAAGATATAAAATAGTAATTAGTGAACAATTGGTGAATTTCATCAAGAGTTTGATTAGATTGAGAGTGAATTGATTAGAAGCATAATATAATCTAATCATTGAAGGAGAAGAAGAAAAAGAAAAAGGTTGATTGGAGATTATTGGAGATTACTAAATGTGGAAAAATTATAATTACCATTAGTAGGTAATTCTGATAGTTCTCCACAATTTGAATCAATGGGTCGGGGAAAATTTCCCGTTAATTTGTCCAACAGCATTTCCGTTGGCTGAAGATCAGAGAAAGGGACACAACCATTGGCGAGTTCACAACAAGTTATACCAAGAGAGTAAATGTCCGAAGTTGATGTATAACCAAGAAGATTTTGTTCCAGTAGTTCAGGTGCTAACCAATTAAGGTTCGTTTTTGCATTGTCGGGATACGAATGGACTGATTGTAATAATTTACCGTCCGACATTGTACTTGTTGCATATTGGAAACCAGTTAATAAACATTTGCCTTGAGGACCATAGACTAGTATATGTTGACCACGAATGGCTCGATGAATAATTCCTTGATTATGAATATATTCCAGAGCAGCAAGAGTATCACGAATCATAAATGCAATAGCAAGTTCAATTAACCCTGAGGGTTTACTCAGATCAGATGCTGATCCAAATTGGCAGTAAGGTGATGCAATCCAAAGATTTTCAGATTGAAGGAAACATGAAAGAAAAGGTAAAACATTTTCATGTCTTAATAATCTGTTGATCCAAACATCCTTTTTAATATTGTTCATTTGATTGTCGGTCAATTGGTCCAGATTGATTTTCTTAATTGATAAGGTTTGTCCAGTTGAAAGATATTCTCCTTTATATATTTTCTCCTTAATTTTATCCAAAAGACGATAAGAATCAGGTGAACAATCAAGTAAATTGATGGACATTGAAGTGGGATAATCCATAATCCAAAGAGTAATGGTGAGGACAATAAATTAGTTGTAGAAAAATAGTGTCAAGAGAAGATATTTAACAAAAATAAACACTTGAAGCTACAATTAATGGTTAATTAATCACAAATAGATTAACCAGATTAACCATGGTTATTGCTAATTGGATATATTGTTAGCATGATTAGTCAAAATAAGAGTGAAAGTATAAAGAGAAAGCAAAAATTGATGATCAAAAGAAAAGCAGATTGAATTGTTTACCAAAAATACAATTTAATCCTCATCGCCATGAACAGGATCATAATCACAATCGATTGATTAAGGTTGCAAGAATAAAGGTTGACAAATAATTAAATTGTTAACATAATTATTATGGTTACAATTATTGTTTATGTTGTTGCCAAGAGTCACAATTATGATCAATGACCAATCCATATCAGTGAGGATAAAGAAAATATTTTCCTCAACAACTTTGAGTAAATTAAATCACAGATTAACCAATACGAAAGAGTTAAAGTAACTTTTTAAATAGAATAGATTCTGGCAATTTCAAATTAATTAGAAATTAACCTTTAAATCAATTACATCAGAGAGAAATAATCAAGTTAATTGTCTGATCAACAATCAAATTTATCGCAACCAAAACAGATGAGATTTTTTGGAGAAAAAGTGAAAAGCGGTTAATTCAAATGGAACTCGATGTTCTAATCTAATCATCAAAACGAAAAGAAAAAGAAAACAATTTAAATCAACAAAATCAATCAACAATTAACTCTTTTCTTCATTGGTGGTAGAGTTTAATTGTCGTGCTAATCACTAATTAAGGTAAGTCACCTTCCATCATCATGATCAACCAGTCGAGAAAATGAAATTAGGATAAGTGAATTGTTAATCGATAATTCATCTTTTAATCAACACCATTAACTACCCTTGTCTTTAAGCGACACTTTGATCATCAAGTATCACAATTAAGAGCAGAATCTTAATCAACAATTAACTTGACTCTTTCAAAGAGCGCGGTTGCTTTTCCTCACCAGTTGAATTGTAATAATTATGATTTTATGTCATTCATTTGATTAGAAAAGTTTAACGAGTGAAAATGGTTAAGTAAATTGTTGCTTTCACTTTTCACAATTAATCATCTCTCTTGTCATTTTCTATTAATTAGTTGATCTTTTCCCTTTTCAATTGTGTCTCTGACCTCTTTTAACCTTGTTAATTACCATAAAATCGACTAATTAATTGCTAGTGATTTCCATGTGGATTGATAATCATGAGAGTGTAAAGTAAACAAAGTAAACATAAGCTTGTGGTTGTCAACGATTTTCTTGATTTATTACTGATTAGATCTGATTAGTCAAGTTAATTAAGTCTTTTTGTTAGGATAGAATGACGGAAACAATTGAAAAAGGTTTCGAGTTCTGTATTGACAGAGGTGGCACATTCACCGATGTCTATGCCAAGTGTCCCGATGGTTCTGTTGTTACGACTAAATTGTTATCTCGAGATCCCGATAATTATGACGATGCCCCGAGGGAAGGAATTCGTCGAGTTATTGATTCTTACAATTCAACAATCTCCTCTAGCAAAGTGCCTTCTAAAGGAAAACAATTGATCGATGGATCAGTGATAAAAAGCATTCGAATGGGAACAACTGTCGCTACAAACGCTCTACTCGAACGTAAAGGTGAACCGATGGCCCTTTTGTTGACCAAAGGTTTTCGTGACGTTCTTTACATCGGTAATCAATCTCGTCCTAATATTTTCGACCTCAAAGTGACCATTCCTGATGTCATCTATTCGACTGTTATTGAGATCGATGAGCGTGTCTTGTTAGCCTCAGAGAAATGTTGTGTCTCCGAACTGGCCGATCTACCGAAAGCCGTCGGTATCACCGGGGAAACTGTTCTCATCGAAAAAACTGTCGATCTTGATTCAGTGAGAAATCAATTGATCGAATTAAAATCTTCTGGAATCAATAGTTTAGCTGTTGCTTTGCTTCATTCTTACATTTACCCTGATCATGAGAATCAAGTTGAATCATTGGCGAAAGAACTTGGGTTTAATTATGTTACTTTGTCTTCCAAAGTTATGCCGATGGTCAAAATTGTCGACAGAGGATTCACCTCGTGTGCTGACGCTTATTTGACTCCGGCCATTCATCGTTACATCAATGATTTTGCTTCTGGATTCGTTGATGGTTTAAAATCACTTCCCGTTCTGTTCATTCAATCAGACGGAGGATTGACCCCAGTCGATCAGTTTACTGGATTCAAAGCCATTCTTTCTGGTCCAGCGGGTGGAGTTGTTGGCTATTCAAGAACCACTGTCGCCGATCTTGGGTCTGATCAGCCAATTATTGGCTTCGATATGGGTGGTACATCAACCGATGTCTCTCGATATCACAATACACTTGACCACACATACGAAAATGTGACCGCGGGAGTAGTTATTAAAGCTCCTCAGCTGGACATTAATACTGTGGCTGCTGGTGGAGGTTCACGTTTATTTTATCGTTCTGGTCTTTTCGTTGTTGGTCCAGAATCAGCCGGTGCTCATCCCGGTCCAGTTTGTTATCGATTCGGTGGTCATCTTACAGTAACTGATGCCAATGTTACTCTTAATAGGGTTTTGCCCGAATATTTTCCTTCAGTTTTTGGTCCATCTAAAGATCAACCACTCGATCGGGAATCGTCGTTAAAAGCAATGGCCAAATTAACAGAAGAAATTAATGAAGATCAGAAAACGCAAATGTCTGTTGAAGATGTCGCTTTGGGCTTCATCAAAGTGGCCAATGAAGCGATGTGTCGACCCATAAGAGCGATCACAGAGGGTAAAGGTTACTCAGCTTCGACTCATGTTTTGACCTGTTTCGGTGGAGCCGGAGGTCAACATGCTTGTTCAGTCGCTCGATCTCTTGGGATTGGAAAAGTTTTCATTCATCGATTCGCTGGTATTTTATCCGCTTATGGAATGGCCTTGGCTGATATTGTTCACGAAGAACAAGAACCTTCAGCATTTAATTACTGTGAATCTAATTTCAGTGCAATTAATGAGAGATTCACTCAACTAATTAGCAAATGTGAACAGGCTCTTCTCAAACAAGGTTTCCATCGCAATCAACTGCGCTTTGAATTATACTTAAACATGAGATACGATAAAACGGATTTTCCCTCAATGATTTTATCTACTTCACCTAATTATGTTTCCTCTCTCACTGACGAAGAAATGTTTTGTCAAAAGGGAAATTTCGGTGAGACATTTAACTCTCGTTATCAGCGGGAGTTTGGGTTCAAAATGGACTCATCGAGGAAAATAATAATTGATGATATTCGAGTTCGTGGAATCGGTAAATCAATGGAAGAGAAAAACTTAGAAACCAATGTGAAAGATGAATCAAAATCGCATGAAAGTGGACTGATTGATCCCGAAAATATTATCAACTGTTACTTTGAAGATATTGGTTACATGGAGACTAAAGTGTACCGTTTGGAAAAGTTGAGATCAGGTCAAAGTTTACAAGGTCCGATGATTATTATCGACAAATCATGTACCATTTTAGTCGAACCAGAATGTACGGCATCGATTACTGTTCAAGGAAATGTTATAATTGACGTTCCACAAAACGATTCCTTTGAATTGTCCGAATCAAAATCTTCTCCGACCGATTCGATCACTTTGTCAATATTTTCCCATCGGTTCATGTCCATTGCTGAGCAAATGGGACGAATCCTTCAACGAACTGCAACATCGACAAATATCAAAGAGAGATTGGACTTTTCGTGTGCTCTTTTTGGACCCGATGGTGGGTTAGTGTCAAATGCTCCTCATATTCCCGTTCATTTAGGTGCCATGCAAGAAGCTGTCAAATTTCAGATTTCTCATCGTGGAGATGATATAAAACCGGGAGACGTCATTCTAACTAATCATCCTGCTGCTGGCGGTTCACATTTACCTGATTTAACTGTAATTACGCCTGTTTTTGATGAGAATAACGAATCATCTAAACCAGTGTTTTTCGTCGCCAATCGAGGTCATCACAGTGACATTGGGGGTATAACACCAGGATCAATGCCTCCTCATTCAGTGAAATTATCTCAAGAAGGTGCTGTTTTCATGTCATTTAAAATTGTCGAGAATCAAATTTTCCAAGAACACAAGCTAATCGAAACGCTATTAGCTCCTGGTATCGAACCAGGAAACTTTGGTTCTCGTAATTTATCAGATAACATTAGTGATCTAAAGGCTCAAATTGCGGCTAATCAGAAAGGAATTATTCTCGTCAATGAAATGATCAGACAGTTTGGGCTAAAAGGCGTTCAAAGGTACATGAAATTCATCCAAGAAAATGCCACTCGTTGTGTTCGTGATATGTTGATTTCAATCGCATCTAAACTTGGTACTTCGACTTTGGAAGCTTACGATTACATGGATGATGGTTCAATGATCAAGTTAAAGATCAACATTGATCCTAATCAAGGAACTGCTTCATTTGATTTTACCGGTACTGGTCTCGAAGTTTATGGAAATTGTAATTCGCCAAAAGCAGTTACTCTATCAGCAATCATCTATTGTCTTCGGTGTATGATCGGCTATGATATACCCTTGAATCAAGGTTGTCTCGAACCAATTAAGGTGACGATACCACAAGGATCAATTCTTTGGCCAAGTATCGACGCTGCTGTTGTCGGAGGTAATGTTTTGACCTCTCAGCGAGTTGTCGATGTGATCCTTAAAGCTTTCCAAGTTTGTGCCGCGTCCCAAGGTTGTATGAATAATGTCACTTTCGGGGATGAAACCATGGGATATTATGAAACAGTGGCTGGTGGAGCAGGTAAATAACCTTCACCTTTGTTTGCGTTAATACTGATCCAATAATCTTATCATTTATTGTTCCTTTTTCACGTTTCAGGAGCTGGGCCTACTTGGAATGGCCGTAGTGGTGTTCATACTCATATGACTAATACACGAATAACTGATCCCGAAATAATGGAAAGACGATATCCAATCATCTTAAGAGAGTTTCATCTTAATCCAGGTTCAGGAGGAAACGGAAAGTATAAAGGAGGCGACGGAGTCATTAGGAAAATCCTTTTCCGTAAACAAATGGTTCTATCGATATTAACTGAGAGACGAGTTTTCTCACCTTATGGATTACATGGTAAAAATGAACTTTTCATCTTACGTTTAACTTAATTTTCATGGTTCTAATTATCTCATTAATTGTCTTAATTTAGGTGGTGAATCAGGAGCTCGAGGAAGCAATACAATTACGTATTCAATTGGACGTCAAGTTAATTTAGGCTCTAAATCTTCAATCAAAGTTGAGCCCGGAGACACTTTTTGTCTAATTACTCCAGGAGGTGGTGGTTATGGTTCACCAGAATCTTAATTACCAACTAATCATCATAATTGATATAAATATTAAGGAACAGTTAGTTGATTACATAATCCATGTGATCCAATAGATTTCCAACTTGGACATTATTGAAATGTCGATACTTTTTTATCCAAGTTTATATAATCTCTTGTTTTCTCAATGTAACATTTTCATAATTACTGGACGAAGAAAAATATTATCCAATATTTATTCAGAAATAAAATAATCTACCATTTGTATTGGTAAATAATCAACATTGAGAAAAGTAATTGATAAGATCAATTTCAATTGTTGTGATATAAATTGTGGGTGGAAGATGATGAAGTAAGTACAGTTAGATGAAAATCTATGTGAATTATTACCCTGGTTACCAAAGTTTTGTTTTGATGTCTAATTTTACTTCGAGGTCTTGGACTCGTTTAATCATTTTGATAATTGTTGTCAATTCGAAACCAATTTAAACTTCTAAATAACAATGTTTGTGCTTTTCTAAAATCAATTAGCTGAGAAATAGTAAATTAATCTTATTATTCAACAATTAATCATCAGTCTACTTAGTTAATTATATAATCATCTCTTAACTCGATCAATAAATTGTAAGATATTCAAAAATTGGTAACAGAAACGGTAAACAGGTAAGTCTAATCAATTTTCATCAATCATAAATAATTAAGTTAATTGTGATAATCTATTAATACTAAAAAATATCTAATAAAATCTTGGTAACAAGCTAATGATTAGTTAATTATCATGTTTGATTGATCTTAAAAAGCATCAAGTGATTTAAATTGTAGCTTTTACGTTGATGAAATCAATTAAGATGTCATTATATTGAGATAATATTGATTATCAGTTAAGTAAATTGTAGACTTTAACTAATAATATTATGATTTTTTCCTCTTTATCATTATTACAATTGTAATCAATTTCAGCGATGATTAAGTTTTTAATATTAATCTGAACTCGTTCTTGGTCAATTCATTCAATTTCTTAACTATTTTTTGATTATTCATTATAACAGTTAACATATTGATTGTTGACAATTAAATGTCTCTTTTTTTTGAATCGATTTTAATTTTGGTTCTTATTGATTTTCGGTCTATCGATTTTAGGCCATGGAAGCTGAAACGAGTTGGGTACTCGACTCACTCGTGGGTTTCCTTCAAGGCCCAATTTGGAATATACCGATAAGTAGTTTCATCGAGCAAAGATCAATAGGTAAGATTAATTGTTAAATTTAATTGTTTACTAAAATTGGAATCTTCGTTTTTCTCTTGTACCAGTATTCGAGCCAGAATATGAGGATGACGAGAAAAGAACTCGAGACGAAAGAGAATCTGAATATCGTAAAATCTTCAGTGAATATAGTTTCTTAGTCGATCGATTATTATCTGCACATATGGAAGATCTTTCGATTTCCTTAGAACAGTTCGAAGAGGCTTGTCGAAACGCTAAAGGAAGTTTAGGGGCCAAATTCCAACAAACTTTATTCGAACAAATTTGGGCAGCAAATGACTACGATATATTTCGAGCCTTAATGGTAAAAAGGAACATCGAACTTAATCTACAAGCAATGAACATACTGACCACATCTTTGGGTCAAATGAGTCCCGATGATGCAGAAAAAACAATCAGTTTCTTGATCGATGACGATTCGTTGCTAGAACAAGTGATGAAATTATCCATGGCTGATGCTCGAGATGAACAGGAAGCTTTGGATGATAATGCGAAAGAAGATGTACTTCGAATCGCCATGGAAGAGAAAGGTCGTTTGGAAGCGGAACGGATTAAGGAACAGTCCAAATTGGACCAAGCATTAAAAAGAGTAATGGCCTCAGGTGGAAATGATGAAGATTCTAATGGAATCGATTATCAATCAACAAGTGCCAATGTCAACAACGAGGATGATGATGAAGATGAAGGTCATAGTAATGGACTTGCAGGAATGATCAAAGGTCAAATTGTAAATCGATCAGGTTATAAGCCTCTAAATATGAATGATGATGGTGATTATATAAATCGCAGATCAAACGAAGAGAGATCGGCAATAAATGAAGGCGATGAAGATGATGGAGAGGATGTGAAAGCAGTTTTACTCAAATCAAAAGGATCATCCATTAATCCAGCTGAGATTAAGGCTCGTCAAGAGTATTTAAGAAAACGTCGAGATAAGATTATTGAGACCAAACGAAAAGAGAGACAACGTCAAGTCGAGCAATTGGAAGAGCTCGAAATCAAAGAGAAAAGACCAAAATCAGCAAAAGTAATCAAAAGTTTCTTAGAAAACGATGAAAATGGCGAAGGTAAGAGCGAAGATGAAGGATTAAGCTTTCGACGTTCACTGGCTGCTAAACTGAAAGCCGAAGTAATTGGTAAGCACAAGCATCGTTAATCGACGATTAACTTTCGATTTCGATCGACATAATAGATCACTAATTTAATGTTCTTTTTTATTTCGTCAGAGAAAAAAAGATGATCAAATAAAATCTCCACAGACATTGGACCATCTTCGATTGACCAAGCGTATAATGCTTGATAACCATTTCTAATCTCTTCTTAATCACTACGAATTATCAGTAAATTGTATGTGGACAAAAAGTCAGATCACAATTAAAGTTACAAATTATTGTAAATTCACTTTTATCTCAAGTGTTTAGTTTCTTGAACCGGAGTTTAGGTGCAAGACTAAAGCTTTTGAGGCAGTTCGAGAATCGATAATTAAAAAAAGAGAAGGCAAAGTAAATACTCTATCCAATATGTTTATTAATTGCGATTATAATTAAATCTTACACATATGATTCTATTGTTGATATGATAAGCATAGTTTTTAACGTTAATTGTCGGTCATTGGAAAGCAATTGATTGATTGCACAGGTTTGTGATTGTTTAGAAAAAGAAATGAAAAAAAAGGAATAAGAAAACAATCAATCTCCAGGAAAAGAAATTATAATCTCAAGACAATTAAGAGATCAGGAAGTTAATTGGATTGGACCTTAAAAATTCATGATGTGAATATGTTGATATGTTCATTGCAAAGGTTAATTGCTACAGAATATGGCAAAAGGAATGATATGTAAAAAATGAGATCGATTTTGATCAAAAATTATGATGATTGATTTTCTGTGTATTGATATGGATAACGTTGATTTGGAAGATTTGGAAGATCAATTTATTTGATCTAATTGACTTTTCTTTTTTTGGCCACATTGGAATTGGAATTGGATTTGGACACTGGAGTTGATTTTTCGCTGGTGATTCCGTTTGATTTACTTGAATGTGCCATTCGAATGTGATTATTCAATTGATTTGGTTCGAGAAATGGTTCTTTACAAATGTAACAAAAAATTGCTAACGAAGAGAAATAGAAAAGATCTGATTGTTAGATTGTTGGTTCGATTCTAATAACAATTTGTATTTACCTTTACTACGATATGATGGACAGGCTCGAGCGTGTTTACGAAGTGCTTTTATTGCTGTACATTCTTGGGAATAATTGTCGAATATTTTCCCACATGGACAACTGACAATGTGACGATACTTCTCGAGTAATTCTGGTCTTTCAGGGTGAATTCGGCGAATGTGAACTTTCAAACATGGAATTGAATGGAATGGAGCATCACATATATCACAGACAGCACCTGAGGGAGAAAATTGGACCAACGATTAATCTAATTGTTATTTTCTAATCATTTCGAACTCAAATCCAAATTCAAACTCGAACTCACCATTTTTCATGTAAACACTACATTTAGCTACATGCTGACGGAAACTATCGTATGCAGCTTTATACCCGAGGGCATTTTTACTGAATTTCTGACCACATTTGCAGATATAAAATTGTCTCTTGGAGTCGCCATTAGTTAAATCTAATGTGTCTTTTTTCACATAAATCACTTGTTTATTGATTGGTGATTTTGGCTTGATTGTTTCCGCTTCTTGTTCCGATTTGGATTTGTTTCGATCACAGTTAATTAATTTTGTTCGGTCATTTTTTGTCGAGCCTTTTGAGCTTTCCAATAGTTTAAGATAATCGTCTTTCTTTATTAACATGACTCTGGGTCCTTTTATTGGAATAATTGGATTATCGGCTTTTAATTGTTCCAATTTTCTAGTGAGATTCAAGTTATGCTGTTTGAGTGAATTAATTGTATCATTTTTCAATTTATCTGAACTTTCACCTCCTTTTAAAGCCATTGTTCTAATTGTCTGAGCAGATTTAGAAGATCGGAATTTAGTTCCAGGATCTTGGGAAGCATCGAAAAGTGATTTACTTTGTACAACGTAATTTAGATCAGCTTTTATCGTCTCTCGAATTTTGTCCAAACTCAAGTCCACTTTATCGTGGAATCGTTTTGAAAACTCATGGAGACACAAAGATCTGAGGAAAACATTTTCTCGGAGATATTTTTGTTTTTGGCACATAATTTGTCCGATTTCCTTTCTTAGGTCCAAACGTTTATGGGCGATAGATGAGCTTCGAACTTGAGCCAGTTCGCCTTGAGATTTGATTATTTGTTCATTGAGTATTGCATTTGCTTTAGTTAATTGTTCGTGAATCGCTTCAACATCTTCCTTGGTAATTTCTTCTTCATCACTATCAAATTCTTGATTATTACAGTTATTGCCATCGATTTTCCCGTTAACATTATGTTCACCATTACCGATATTTATAATAGTACAAATTTCTGGTTTTTTTGATATGTTTTCCTTGGAAGAGGAATCAACTGGATCTTTCGACCAGAAATTCCCATAGTTAGAACCATAAGTTGACAGGCAACTTTTCCGTTCTATAGTTATATTTACAGTATCGATATCGATTTCGATCTCTTCTTCAGAATTTTCTTCATCTATTTCAATTATCCTCTTTTTCATATGTTCCATGAAAGCAGATTTTTCCCCTGAAATTTTAAATGTAACAATCAGAGAAAAATTAACAATCAAATGAACAAACAGAAATTAGTAACAATTTAAAACTCACCTTGAATAGTAGTGGTCATTTTGGTCAATCCTTTGATATGTTGGCAAATAATGTCGAAGCTGGAAATTGACGTATGACCACAAACCAATTCTCGTGTGAGAATGGACAATGGATTAGATTTAATTTAAACCATCAATAGTTGAACAATTTGTGATTTACAAGATAACAAATAAGATTAACCATCGGATTAAGTACAAAAATGGGATATGTTTGGGTTACATTAGGTTGAACCAGAAAACCAGAAAATGATGAAAATATTGATCACATTGGAAATCACATTATAAAAAATGATATGTTTTCGTATTCACTGCAATTGAATTGGTTTAAATAAGAAACATGATAATATTGATTTGGATATCAGAGGATTAATTAAGTGACCTAATTGATTTGGAGGTCAGAGGTGAATACTCAAGGAACACAAAGATGGGGAAAGGAGGATAAGAGACAGAAGAAAAGTGAACTACAGACAGAGAGAAAGACAGAGATAGAGAGAGACAGAGAGAGGAAAAGACAGAGAGAAAGGACCTACACTAATCAAAGAGTATTTTGATTGTTCCCTTGATCAGTTGGTTAATTAGCTGATTGATTGTTGGATAATCAAATTTACAAGAAGAAATTTGAAACATTGGTTGGGATAATTGATAGGAATAAATTTGATCGATTTAATTAGCAGGTTAAAATGGAGAATAATAAAAGGAAATGAAGAGATGATGTAAGAGACCTCGAGGTGAACGGTTCTACTAGGCAACTCGTGGATTACAATGCAGTTTCGAACCTCGAATTTAGATCATCTTCCTTTCTTCATCTTCTCTCTTTCCCTCGCTTTTACTCTTCAGTTCGAACATTTTTTTTACTTTCTTTTCTATTATCACTCTATCAATGTTTACCTTTTCTCTATCCTTTTGCCTGAAATCATTTTCTTCCTTCTCTTATCGCTTAATTACTGTTCTTAAATCTAATTACAGCTAATTAAGTGTAATAATTTCCAATGATTGACTCGTCATTTCATCTCTTCTTGTTTCTTATCGATTTCTTTAATCTTCTCATCAATTATTTGTTTCTATTTTGACAGGAGAGAAATGATTTAACACCAAACAACAACAATGGAGTTACCTTGATGGTTGAATTGTATCAACAAGGTAATGGAAGGTAATTGTATGAATAACCCAATCTTAGAGTTTAACTTCCGTGAATGATTATAAAACGATCATCATAAATTTAATTGTAGTAAAAGAGGAGGAGGTGAAGGAGGTAAACCAACCAGGAACCATGAGCACCATCAAGGTAAAAATAACAAGGAATAAACAATCAGGTGATCATTTAAAACCCTTTAATCAGTTGATTGAGTAACAATTCAAATATGAGAACATTGAACAGATTCATCATCTCATCTTTTCACCCTGATTATGTTTCCAATGGACTTCAAGTTCAGGTTATGATATAAAAAAAGAGAGAGAGAGAGAGATGAATTAAATTCATTCCTCTTTTCAGATCAACGTTCCAATGAATGAAACTGAATAATTGAGTTCCTGTTGTTGATTGATAATTTTTCTTTCTGTTAATCATCATTTTGATCATTTCTAAAGTATCAACAAACCTTGAACAGAAATGGAACCGTTTCAGAGGAAATGCAATAGCAATTCCCCTTTAATTGTAACCTTAATCAACGAAATAACTGTCACATTGTTAGAGAAAGTTATCAATTCTGATTGACATTTGCATTTTCAGGTTACATGAAATCTATTTATAATAATCTTAAAATCCATTACTGTCAAACAGATAAATTTGATTCCTACTAACATGATGATTGAATTAACCAACATGTCAAGGTTACAATTAAGGACATTGAGAAACAATCAGTATAATTATAAGTTTATTTTTCTTTATGTATTAATATTAATTTGACGTCAATAGTATATTATTGATCTTAGTGAATGATTAAGTCAATAATTAAATCTTCCAATTGAAATATTATATCAATCAATACGATATATTGGATTCCTTGATTATATCATCATTAGAAAAAGATTAATTTTTTAATCTCTAAGATATTATTTGCACAATTAAACCGTAGATTAGTTAAACATTAAAATATTTATAAATATTAATTGTTCTCAATTTAGCAAAAAAAAATCAAGCAATTAACACACAGTTAAGAAGTTAAGTAAAAAAATTGATGGAAAATCAATTAGATGCTTACAATTTAGTTAAATAATAATAATACTTAGTATTAAAAACAATTAAGTAGATTGAATTAAAGGAGCATGATGATAATATTAGTTAATCATCATCATAATATAAGGTGATAGGCAATAAAAGGGTGACAATAATTTAGATTGTCGACTGATTAAGTCGCAATTATTGCAATGGTTAAGCATTAATGTAAAAAAAACAAGTAACGGTAAAAAACATCAGCTTGGTGATGATTAAGTTTGATTGTGATTGTGATCTGAGGCAGTTGAATTTTTAGTTATGATGAACAGGAAGAGAGAATTGAATTATTCAGTTTTTTTTTGGTTTTCGGTTCAAAATCCTGTTTCACAAGGTTAGTTGAATGAAGATGAGAGAGAATAGAAAAAGGTAAATTAAAGGTGGGGCCCATTTCTTAATAAGCTTCCAGAATTGATTCGCCACAGGTTCAGTTCATCACTTCATGTTTAATCAGCTTCTTTTGGTTCTCAATCTATTTATCTTCTTGGTTGATATTTGTGTTTACCATGAAACAGAACCACTTTTGCCACAATTTTTGTTTTATTTGTTCCTCTCAGCGATTAGTAATTATGATGCTATTTTTTTATTTCCTTGAAAACTTAATGATCAAGTTAACAAATGGATATTTACTGTTTATCGGGAAATGATCATTCTAACGGTAATTAATAGAGTTGCCATAATGATGATCTTGTTGAGTAGCTTTCAGAATTTGAATCATGTTACTTTGTTTTGCAAAATTTGAGGTCATCAATGAGTTGCCTGGGTGGAAACAGCGGAAACGTCAATTCTACATTGTATTATTGTTTGTTGCTCTTTAGCCTCAAGCCCTATGGGTGGGAAGTCCCTTTTTGCTTTGTTGGATTAATCTTTTCATCATTCATCTTGGTCTTTAACTGAATCTTAATCATTTCATTAACTTTAACACATCACTCTAAACACTGATTTCGCTGGAGTATCAACGTGACCAGTTAGCTTTCCAATTCTCGATAACAAAGGTATCGTCCGGAAATGAGAAGTTGTTTTCTTTGACTTTGTTTTCCGTTCATGGATTTGGATGGAAGAGAGATTATTATTAATCGATCATGTAGGATGGTGATGGTGATGAAGATAAAAGATGATGAAAATCAATCTTCAACAGGTTTGGTCAGTTGTGTGGCTCATCTTTATAATCACAGAGTAATTATAAGAGTATCTCTTTAAATCAAAGTCGATGACAAGAGCTGAATGGAATGTAGTTGATGAAGATCATGTTAGTGATAGAGATTATGATCATGATGCTGATTTTCCTACAAGTTTAAATGTCTTTGCTTGTTTCTCCTTTTCATGGCTTATTATCCTCTTTTCTTTTACGTTTTTTTCACTTTCTGATTTTTTTGTTTTCTTTTTGTTTTCTTTGTTGCTTCTTTTCTCCATTTAATCTTCCATCTCTTCCATACGACAATGAATCGCTGTCTCAACAACCTCTAAACTTGCATAATCAAGCTCTTTGATGAGACATAATACAGCAGATAATATGTTGGCATTCTGTGAATAGAGAGAGAGAGACAATCGGATGAGAAAATGGATAATATAAGCTGCTAAGGGAGAGAGAGAGTGGAGAGATCAGTCTCAAGTCAATTGGATCTAATAACCCTCTTGAGTGACACTCTGATTGTGAAATTGAGAAGGAGAAAAAGATTTAAGAAGAACTAATATCGTGTGAATAGTTATCATCATCGTGATAATAGTTACATAATATTAGCGAGTTTACCTTTGACACAATTTGATAGCGACTTACCCTGTTTCGACCGCCTTTAGATAGAGGCTTTTGTTGACTTGATATTGATTGAATTGACTGGTAACCATATCGTCGACCAGCGCCACTCCCATTTCCACTTCCTCCACTACTTCCACAGCTACCAGATCCTCCTCCGCTTCCATTACCTCCATGGGAAGATAAGGGTGAATAACGTTCATTTCCGGAACCATTTTCATTGTGATACTGGTAAATATCATGAGTCTGATCTGAGATACAACTTTTAGCGTCTATGGTTGAACGACAATGGGTCGTTGAGTTGTTACAATTGTTGGAACCATTGAATATATTGTAATCACTGACGCTTTGTGACCTAAAATAGAAAATAAAAGATGAGATCTTTGTAAAGATGTGCAATCGATAGTAATGGTTGATCCAAGGGTAAATTGATTGTAAAAGGCGTTGGTGTTCAATGATCATCAAAGATTGTGGGTAAATCATCATGAAATAATAAACAAACTTTCAACAATTAAGAAAACTGTCAAAATACAAGGTCGAAATCCCTCTGAATTTAAAAATATCTTCCGATGACAAGACTTGACAACTAACAATCAACAAAACTAAGTTGTTGAGCTACAATAATTAATAGAAATCATGTTAATTCATTTCAAGGAATCATGAAAAAATATCTCAACAGCAACAACCCATAAATGGTTATAATTAAAACAAATTCCCATGTAACAATAACATCAACAATTAGCTAGATCACAAGGACAGATTCAAGTAATATCCACAAATGATTTAAATCAAGGAGACAACAATCATTAAATTGTGAAGTTGATAATCTCATAATGAGAAATATCAATTTAATGAATCATAAATCTATTAAATGAATTGAGAAACAAAAACAGAAAACTGATCAAACATTCATAACATAAACTGACCATTTAAATGTCAACAATTTAAACGCAATCAATTAATTTTTCACATTCTGAGTCCATTGTAACATTTAAAATTACTACTAATTTGATTTAATCTCTTGACGTGACCGTCAAAGGCCATGGTCATACGGAAACGGTATCGGTAGTGTAAAGGCCATTAAATTTGCATACGAAAATGTTATTCAAAGTAGTTGCTATTTTTTACCTTGGAACTGTAATCAGATTAAGTTGAAAGTATTCATGATAAAAAACAAAAAAAGTTAATGATGATAATGATGATGATATAATTTGAATTAGTAGTCATGATAAAAATCAGCCCGAAATGAACTTGATTCAAGTTTCCTGTTTCGGAGACGATTTTTTTTTTGTTACCTCAAGGCAAATTTTTTAACCAGATTCAATTATAAGTTAAGTTAATAGAATCAGAGAGACAGTGAATTTAATTGTTGGTATAGTTTCAAGATAATTGTTGCTAATTGTTCAACTGATTAACATTAAAAAAAGTCCAAGTACGAATTTACTGATTATGGTACAGAAATGATTTACTTTTTAATTGTTTGTTTTGCGAAAATCAAATTCATCAGTTTGTTTGTTGGTTTGAATTGTTTTTTTTTCTCACAACAATCAAGTTAATCAATGTAAACATAAACTGAGCTAATAATGAACAAAATCATTAATGATACAAAAAAAGCAATCTGATTACCGATCATGATCAGGGTTAAATACAAATCGATTTAGAAAGTAAATGAAGAAAAACAAAGATGATGGAGATAAAGATGATGATGCTGATGATGCTGATGAGGATGATGATATTGATGATGATTGGAAAAGTGATTACCGATGCTAAAGTACATCAGCAACAATCAAGTGAGAAAGAAAAAAATTAAGGGTAAATGTGATTGATGAACTTGAAGAAAGAAAGTGAAGGAGAAAATTTTTCCAGTTCTCCAGGTTAGTGAAGGGAAATTTTTTCGTATTCAATCAATCGACAACTAATTATTTCTAACGTGATCAAGTGTATTTATATTATTGTATCGACATCTAATTGTCACGGTAACTCGATTAATGGTTGGTGGTATTATTAATTCTTGATATTTGAATCTAATTGCTTGAGATTGAGATTAAATTGAATTGAAATGATAAAAAATAGATTCACTTTACTCGGAGGTAATTGTTGGTTAAGAAACAAATAAACAATTTGAAAAAATGGTTCATTGGATCGGATTGTGATTAAATAACATTGTTGTTGTTATTAAATATATAATAACAATCAAGTTAAACAATTTTCATGGTTCGATTGTGAACAATTAACGATAATTTATACACTTTTTATATATAACATTTATACATTCAAATTGAATGATAATATTTATATTTGATTTGCAATTAATTGTTTCTAATGGTCCGTTTATGATTAATTTGCATAGAGAAAGCGATTAGAAATTAGTTTTCTTGATAATGTATATTAAATAATGGTAATTAGTGTAATGATCAATATTGATTGATTGCATTTCCATTTTGATTACGATTAATTGAAACCCACCTACACAGAAATTGTATTCATAGGTAGGGTTTTAGGGTAATTGGTTAATTATTAAGTTGATGCTTTTGATAATACGGAAGCTAATTGTTAATTAACTTGAGAACAGCAAGAGATTGATGTTGTCCTCATTTATCAAAATCACATTGAAATCAATTAATTGTTATCAATGAAACTTTTCTTATTTATTAAGGGAAATGAGTATTAGTTAACTTTATCTAATTACTTGTTTACTTGAAATTGTTGATTGAATTGATTGTTAGTTAACTCAATTGTTACAATTGTTGTTTTCACTTCTCTCGCACGAAAGCACAAAAGTCATCACAATAATTATAATACAAAACATACACACAGAATCAATGGTTCACTGAATCGATAGACCGAAAATTGGTCAAAATCAAGCGATCTGTTGAATCTAACAATTAAAACTAAATATCAATTAAATCTAATGAATCAGCTAATGAATAACATTGTGTCACAATTGATTATGAACCACTAAACTCTTTCCATACTAATCATCATCAACATTAATTAACTGATTTACTAATTCTTTGCTAATCTTTGAGAGACAAACAATCAGTCAACAATTACAAACATTGAAGCTAAACAAAATTAACTAAGGTAACAATCAATTTTGTTGTTATTTTTTTTTAGATCATTCGAACTGATAATTAGTCAATTATTTAGACTTCGTTACTAATCAACAATCAATTAATTTCTCCTGACAGAATAAGGTCAGAACTTTTTTTCTACTTGTTGATTAACTTTATCAACTGTCCCTCTCTTCACCTTAACACTTATAATTATGTACTCTCTCAATTGTATCAATTCCAAATCCAAACAATTAGATGATGAAAGTTGCTCCAGAACTTCATCTGAGTAAATCACAATCAATTAATTATCGAATCTCTTTTTTTTGATACACTATTTCTCTTGATTTTCTCTCTCTATTGTTATTGGTGATTTACTGATACTCATTTAATTATCTTCTTAATTACATAGCTTGAGTTTTAAACTTCAAGTTGTTAAATTGTTTATTATCGCCATTAATTTAACTTGATTTAAAGTATTTAATGGAAAAGATTGTTGAGTTTTTTTTTGTCCAATCAACTAATTGATGCAATTGAACAATCAACAATTAAATGATTAACTATCTCACAACTTTTAAGGAGTGACAAGGAAAAAGTAATTTATATTTGTAATTGGTAGTTGGTCAATTAAATCAATCAACAATTAATGGATAAACACATACCTTAACATGGTTGAAGATGTAGATGTTGTTAGATTAGGTTGAACTTGTTTTGAATCTTTTGGATTCCAATTATCTGGACTAATCTCTTGTAAACTGTAACGCTGCTGTAATTGAGCTTGGGACTGTGAGTGTTGTTGAGTAACTTGTTGTTGTTGTGGAGGATTAACAGGATGATCAAGACCATTTCCTTGTGACGGTTGTGGTGGTGATTGTTGTTGTTGTTGTTGTTGGTTAGGTTGATTTGTTTGATGCAATTGTTGGGTTGATCCTTGATGTTTATTGCGGATATTATTATTATCCAATGAAGAGATTGTTGAATTTGATCCATTCTGAGGTGTTGAACTTAAGGGTTTACAATTATCCTGAACTAAAGTACAAGATCCATCGTCTTTCTCCCTGTAGGTTACACTTTCTTCCCTGGAAAGTTCAACGTCTTCATCATAAATCTATGAACAGAAAAGATACAAAGTGAAAGTAAAGATTAGATTAGATTGTGATGAAGAAGCAGAAAAAGAGACATAAAATCAAAGAGCGAAAATGAAACCTTAACAATAATAAAGATTAACAATTCTCATGCATAATCTTTACCAGCAAAAGAAAAAATTAACTTGAGGACAAGAAACGAAATGATTGAAATTGATCAAAGAAACTCATGAAAATAACGGTAAATTTTGCAAAAGCAAGAGAGCAATCAATTAGTCTGCTGAAAGTAAACAAAGGGTAGTGGAGATTAATTTCCCTGGTTATTTCTGCGTGACAATCAATGCACCAGAAAACAATTAACATGTGAATCAAGTTTATTATTAAAAAAAAAGTCTCTCAGCTAAGGATTAGCTTTATCCTAATTCATTTGCTATAAATAAAACTTGATTATCTTTATCCGGTTAACAATAAAAATGATAATAATTTAATTGTCCTTTACACCAACCTCATAATCTTCATCATCTGGCAACTGTTGTTGTTGTTGTTGTTTTTGTTGGATGGTCAATTTTTGATGTGAATGTCCATTAATTGGAGGGTAACTTGGCTCTATTGAGAGAAAAGGGAAATAAATTGTAAAGAAACAACAATTAGTTAATTTGGTTGGAAAATAAGAAAAATTGAGACCAATTATATTTAATAATTAAGGTGTTTTATAAATCAAGAGAGAATGTTGATGATTTTTAGGAATTGAATTTGTGATGATTGTAAACAGAATGATGGTGAAGAAAGATGATAATTGTTATGTTCAATTGGATGATTAAAATTTGACACGAAAAGTTAGTTAACTAGTTGGGTAACATTAATAGAAAAAACTAAGATTGGGATGATTAGAACCGAAAATAGTTAAAAGTTGATTATAATAACAGTAATCAAAGAGCATCATTTACTGATTGTTGATTAACTTTGATTGACTTTTCAGATTCAGAGTCTAATAGCTTAGGAGGATAAGATATTTTAATTGTCGATTAATTATCGTCAATAAGATAAATTAACACAATATCATCAATCGTGAAGATGTTAAGATGTTAAGATTCCATCACCACCCAGAATAAGAAAAGATTAACAATTAAGTGATCAAATTTAGATTTAGGTAACTCACGTTCGGAAGATGGATCATAAATATCTTCACCCAATGTTTGAGCTTTGGCAAGTTCTGAGAAACAAAAGAAGATGAGAGAAAATAGATGATAAAACAATTAGTAAATTGTATTCGATTAACATATTTAATTTAATAGAATTGGTGTTAAGATGAAACAATACAAAATTCATTGGGTTAATTGTGGAGGATGAATTATCTCAGCCCTCAGTCTTTTACTTTTGCATAAATATTAATAGTACAATTGATTGTTGTTCAATTGGAAAATAAATGATTAATCAGAATGATCAGAGTAACTGAAATAAATTGTTGGGCTATTGTTCATCATCTGATTATCATTGTTAACTCATCATTATCTAACCTTTTAGTAGAGGTAATGATTTGTAATGAGAGCGAGTGGTCAATTGAATGGATTAAATATAAGATGATGGATTAAGAAAGTTAAGGTGGGCTCTTAATTCAGTTCAAGAGTGAAGGGTCTCAAGCACCCCGGGTGAAAGGATAAACTTTATAATGATGATAATTTCAATTCTCATGGTGAATGGAAAATTATATTCAATTAGAAACTAGAATTAATCGTAAACAATTACGTACTTAACCAGTGAAGCGAAAGGAGAAACGAGAGACAAGGTCGACGCGCTAATAAGTGGCCTTTAAATGTCCTAAATTTCATCAGCATCATCGCTCTATCATTATCAACATTTCATTGTTACCTTTTTATAATATCGAAAAAAACTCTTCGAATAACTTTGATTAAGATAATCTAATTACTATTAAGAGATGAACAATTTCAAGTGATGATGAGTAACTAATTGTCCATTGCGTGAATGGAAGGGGAAATTGAAAGCAAGATGATTAGTCGACAATTGAATTTGATTAAAAGTTGCTAGTTGATTATGAGTTGAGAAGATAATTGGATAGAAATTGTTGGAGTTAATTTGAATTGATTTTACTGACAATTGATTGATTAAAAATTGAAGAATAATTGGAAAAGTTAATTGTGATCAAACTTACCTTCGGTTGTAACATTAGCATTATCTAATATCTCTAATTGAGGAAGAGCTTTCAATATGGTGTAACGGTAATTGGCTTGTTGATTACATGGATTATCCTCGAGAGTTAATTTCTTCAAATTAGAAAGATCTTGAAGATAATAGATCTCATTTATGTCGGAGATTTTGTTCTTCCGTAAGTATAATTCTTGAAGGTTTTTACATTGACTAAAATCCTGTAGACTGGCGATGTTATTTATCGATAAAGATAAAACTTCAACGTTTGGCATTTGTTGGACAATCGAGACGTCAGATAATTCGCTTCCCCAGCAATTAAGTTTTTTCACATGTCGCAAATCGTGAGATCGGGTTCGACTAAGAACGATATTCTCTGTCAACACGGAGGACATTATGTTAGAAAACTGGTGAAGATTATATTGGGAACAAAGAGATGGAATTAGAGATGAAAAAGATGAGATTAATGTTCACTGGAATATTTTTGTGCGCAGTCAAGTAGATGGATTAAAATTAGAATAGGAACCAAATTATTTCTTCCAATGAGTAAAAGTGGATCGATTATTGGAAAGGACAAAACACTTGGATCTAAATGGTAAATGAAGACACACACACAATTTGTCGATGTTAGAATTGCGATAAACAAATCAATTGAATTGCCAGGAGAATAAGACACAAACAAAAATAGAAAATAGACTCACTGGATAAATAGAATAGAAAATCGGGAAAAATGTTGATGAGATTGAGAACAAAAAAAACAGTCTCACATAATTGATTAATTCGGTTTCTTATTAGTTATTGATTTGTTACTTTTAAACTCTCATTTAGAAAAAGTGTTTGACGAAAATTGAACAAATTATCAACATGGAATTTACTTTAAACTCTTAATTGAGAATGTAGAGTAAATAACAATTTATATGTTATTTATGGCACAAAGAAAATGTAACAATAAAGTAAATGAAGATGAATTTTTGTTTCATATAACGGTCATGTTTTCTCAACAATTACAACATGAATGTGAAGAAGATAATCAACATGATGAGGGAGAAAAAGGTGAAAATGTTGATATTACATGAGATGAGAAAAGATTAAGACCCAAACATCAAGTAATGTTGATTTACCTGTTCATCAACAATCAACAAACCAATTTGACAACACGAACAACCAAATGAGAGAAAATAAACAAGAAGTGAAGTTCTTTTCCACCAGATGGCAGCTCCTTCGTTTTGGGCGTTGTTGTTTACCTTTTTTTGCTCATTCGTTAAACTGAATTAGTAGTTAATTAGCTAATTGTCACTGTTTCGTCAATTCGTCAGCTAATTAACATTGAACCATTACCACGATTAGAATCATTTATTTGTTCCTCAACATCCTCGTGAGAAGCTTTCCTCAGAGTAAACTTGAAGCGAAGTCGTTTGATTAATAGATTGTTGTTTTTACCACTAATTGAATGGGTTAAATTTATCAACTAATCAGCAAAATTTAAATGAATTTCAAAGTTTAATGAGCTCTAATTACAGAATCTGTTGTTTTTTCTTCTTCTTCTCTGATACATTACATTTCCACTTGAGTATGAAATCTACTAAATTTCATCAGATTAGATTATGTCATCCGGCAAATATCCAAAAATATTATTGTAATGAACGAGAAAAAAACAAACCATTTAGTTAAAATGATTCTCGTATTATTATTGTTAATTGATGATCAAAAATACATTTTGACGATTAACCAAATATGATAATGTTGATATTAATTCTGATTCATACATTAAAATAGGTAGAAATTTGTTATAAATTATGGCTTAACTACTAACGCTCATTTTCATGTATTTAGTTTGAAGTACAATGTTAATTGTTACATGTTTAGATTAGAAAATATTAATGAGAATACAAGATTTTAAGGCATCTCTTTTTCTTCCCATTAACAATTAAAACAAACACTACGATTCTTAAATGATTCAACTAGTGAGACCATTTATAATCGCTGATTGTTAACAATTACACTTTCATCCCAAAGGTTCAGTTGCATTATTAATTTTAAATTGGTAAAAGTTGTTTTCTGCTGAGATTTGATTGGATTAAATAAATTGGTTCCATGGTTGTAATAGTTGTTGGTTTGATTTAGATCATTGATCATCTTTATCCTTGGCACCATGTTTAAGGATTTTGGTGAATTCAGTGTAGTTGAACATTCCACCCTCATCAATAGGAGCTTCACGATACATTTCATCGACCTGATCGGAAGAAAGGAAAAGGAAAGTTGACAAAAGTGATTAATTAGATTGGAAAATGATAGAAAAGGTTGGAAAGAAAAAGACTCTCATTGTCCATGAAGATCTTCATGATAACTTACATCTTCATCGTTGAACCGATCACCGATTGTGGTCAACAACTCTCTGAGTTTTTCCTCGTGAATTAATCCGGTGTTATCCTCATCAAAACAAGCAAAAGCGTTTTTAATCACATCCTCAGGATCAGTTCCTTGAAGTTTCTCCCCAAAAAGTGTTAAAAACATGGTGAAATTAATTGGACCTGGAGCTTCACTCATCATACCTTCCAGGTAGTTTTCTTCGGGATTCTTTCCCAGAGAGGCCAACATTTCTTGTAGATCGTCTTTATCAATTAGACCATCTCGATTCTGATCAATCATGTTAAAAGCTTCTTTGAATTCCTGAATCTGGGCCTGGTCAAACATAGCGAATACATTACTAGTCGCTCTGTGGGCTCGTTTCTTGGCGAACCCTCGGCCTTTTCCTTTTCTGGTATTGGACATGCCAGAAGGTGAAGTTGATGAAGTGTTGGAAGCCGTTTTGGTTGATTGTAATTCGGGCACCTTAACAAATGGAAAAATATCAATAAGTGACACTGGAAGAAAACAAAGAAACAAAGAAACAACTGATCAAATATCAATCACACAATTGGAAACACAAAGATTAACTGAAAAGAAGCAACAAAAATAAAACAAAAAATTTTCTCTCGAAAACGAAAAACGCGCCGCGAGATGGAGCCACCTTCCATTCGATTGCGAGTAAATCACCGGATGTTTAATTGTCATTCTAATTGGTTAACATGATAAGCTGAATTATAATTAACCAACAATTGTGAGAACAAAATGTTCACTGTTGAATCCTGTTAATTAGTAAATCAACACCTTACAAAGAAATTCAATACACTCTTATTACGAATACATTTGTGGAAACAATTGTTAATTGTGATGGTTTTTTATTTCCGATGAGTTAATCATTAATTATCACAAGGAATTGATTAAATAAAGGCGTGAGAAGATTCTTTATTTTTAACCATAAAAGTAAAATTGCTTTTACACTTTTTTAATTATTGATTGAATCATTGGCTTGAAGAGACAATCAAAATAAAGATGATGGTATTTCTTTTATCCCTTGTTGTTTTCTCATCTTTTTTTTTAATATTCAAAAGTGAAAATCGCTGAACGTTGCTATCAAATCAACTATTCGTTATTTTTTTTTCTTTTTGGTATTTTTTCCTCTTTTTCTCTTCATTAGAATGTTTGCTATGAAACATCAGAATATTCTCTGAATTCTTGGTAACGTCTGTCTCGGATTCGGGCAACAAGACGAGGGAGGAAAATGGTTCCCAAGATGCCAATGATTAATGAGATTGGGATGATAACAAATACCACAACAAGACCAGGAACTATAATAATTGTAAAGTGAAAGTACAAATCATGGTTGAAAGTAATTAGTATTAGTATCATGTGTCATTTAAATCACTAATCTAATCTTACCTCCACTAGCTGGTTCTATTTTAGGTGGTGGAACTGGGATTGTACCATTGCAATGAAGTTCATCGGACCAATCGCCACAATCATTTACATTATTACAACGTTGAGATGGGTTAATACAACGACGACCATTTAAACATTTATCGGGACAAACTGGTGAGAGAAACAATTAAAAGATTAGAGGAAATGATGAAATGAATTGTGAGTGAGTAAAAAACTTACTTATTGTTGACCAATTTAAATAAGCTGAAGTATTGGATGATGTGTATTGGACAATAATTGTTTCAGAGGTCGAGTTGTAATAATCAGCTCCAGATATGTTAATCAAACGTTTATCATTCTTAATGGTGTCTGAGTCATAGATGATGACATTGTCAAGGCCATTGGAGAGGGTGAAGTTGAAAACCTTAAGGATAGTTGGATCTTTATCCACTGGTGTACGGATGATCCACATACATTTTTGGGGTTTTTCTGTTGCGTTGAGAGCAAGTTGGAAAGTGGGTTTATCATCAATTTTACCTCCGCAGTCCAAAGCCTCGAGTTCCATGTTGAATCCACGTCCGCTTAATTTGTAAGTTATGTTTCTGACGGTGTTTTTTTGGGGGTTAAAGGAACGCAAGAAGTTAATCACAGTTTTATTTGATACAATAGCATCTCCAGGGATGTTTGATGAAGTGAGAACGACTGGAGCCTTCTTATCAGCAAATTCCAAACGATGATCTTCAGCAAGATCCAAATCATGGAAAGTTACATAGATAAAAGCTGTCTGTGAGCTAACACTTCGGCATTGGGTGTTACCATCGTCCTCTTTTAATGGATAGTTGTTTGGATAATTGTAAGATTTGAAAAACTGTTTACCAGTTACTTCAACAGGAGCACAAGCATCGTTAGTGACTTTTGACCAAGATGCTTGGAGTAAAGTTCTAGAGTAATTGGAGCAAATTCCACCCCTGGTATAATTGAGAATGTGAGTAGCATTAGTGCCCAGATAAAGTATAGGCAAGGTCGCGGTTCCTTCTCCAACGACAGTAAATACATTTCCACTAGGAGCATCTGATTTCAAGACAAATGAACCTCCATCTTCCAAAGCCAAATTAGAAATTACCAATGATTTTACAAAATTAGAAGTTAGATTAGCCACAGGAACAATGTTCCAAACATAACTTCCACTACAATTAGAGGAATCGCTAAAAATTGTAAAAGACCCAGATTCTAATGGATCATCCAGAGAAATTTCACGATCAACTAAAAAGGAAAAAAGAATAAAAAAAGAAGAACCAATGATAAATTCAATGCGTAATAAGAGTCAACCTGTTCATTTGAATATAATCAATGACATGGAAAATTTGAGACAAATAGAACTTACCTGCTAAGGAAGTAGAACTAAAAACACCAATAACCACCCAGAAAAAATAAAGTCGCATTTTAATTAGAATTAATTAATCACATAAACAATGAAAACAATAGAAGAAGAAGTGAAAATGTAAGAACCAAAGAGAAATGAAAGTGCACAAGTTTAAAAGATTCTCTTACTTTTACTCTTACTTTTTTCTTTTCTCTCTGTCTGATATTCTAATTACATCGCCATCTATGGGCACTTTTGGTTATGTAATCTTTAAATTCTTTGCAACAAAGAAACGACCATTTAAAATTCATTTAAAAGTTGATATCATCATGACGAACAACAATTAACAATCAATTAGAAGGCAACATTATCATGTCAACAATTTACTCAATAGAAATGAACATAAATAGTTTCTATTGGTTGAAGATTAAAGATTAGATTATGATCATTAATTCAACTTCATCAGAACAACAATTTATGTTATCAACTTTTTTTTTGAAACAAAATTTGAATTGAGTTTTTAATTTAATTGATTGTAAGCAATTGACTTGTAGTCTTTTACTTAATTAATTATGATTGCTTTTGCTTAGATAATTAATTTGAGATATGCTTTTTTTGTGGATGTGAATTGTTTTGTTTTGAATAGTTTTTAATTTAAACACTTGATTGTTTTTTATCAATTTTCATGGCAATTTGATTTGTATCGTAACTTTTGATAGTCTGATACAATTGTGTAAACGGTGGATCGGCAAAAATCATATGGCTATGATTAAAATTATGATTAAATTAAAATTGAGTAACGATTAATTGGCCATGAGTAATTAATGAGTTAAAGGCTTCAGTTGCTTCTGTGGTAATACTTTGATATGTGAATGGCTTCAAGTGTGGCGATTGTGAGTAGATAAGATTTGTGGACGGAAGTGCAATTGTTTGTGTACATGATATTGCGACGATCCTAATTAACTTGATTGTTTGGATCGAATTCAGTTTTTTTTTCTCTTAAATAAGATTGTCGATTATGCTTTGATTTTAAATTCAACAGCGGGCGAAGACATTTTACCATCTCCACCTAAACTGTAGGCGAGAACTCGAAGTTTGTATGTTTTATCTGGAACTAAACCAGAGACCATTACATTCAAATCTTCACTAATTTCTTCAAGATATTTATAAACTTCTTTAGCTGATTGAATCTTTTGGTCACTTTCCCAATAACGAACTTTATAACCAATGATCGGCTCTTCGTCTGATGCCGTGTCAACACCTCTCCAAGTTACCTGGACATGGCCTGATTCGACAGCTTTAACTTTCACATTGGTTGGTGCTCGTTGTGGGGCCGCTTTGTAGGTTCGAGCCAAGAAAGGTTCACTCTCAGGTCCAGAACCTGCTTCGTTGTAGGCCATGACCGATACATAGTATTCGGTGTGTGGGGACAAGGCGACAATCAAACCCTCGTTTTGAGTACCACGATTGAGTAAAGTGAGAGCATTAGTTTGAGAGTCATCAGATTGTTTCCAATATTTGATTCGATGACCAATTAATTTACCACGAATCTTTCCTCGACTTAATTCGAGTGGTGCCCATGTAACATTAAGAGCTGTTGAGTTGAATGGTAAAGCCTTAACCAAACTTGGTTGAACTTGAGGCATACTCTCAGCTGAATAAACTTCAACTGGTTCACTGATTGGTCCTTCTCCCATTCTGTTGATTGCTTGAACTTTAACTAAATACTTTTCATAATAATTGTTTTCGCCCACATCAATCACGTACATTCCAACTTGACTTTGATTCAATTCTTTTGTTTGATACTCATAATCGTTTGGCAGTTTCCAGAATATCTTGTACCAGACAGAAGGTGAATTCCAATTCTGAGGAGGTAAAGGATCCCAGGTTATCGTTAATGTACCGGCTTTACCTCCACCGCCACCAACATTGGCTGGTGACCGTAGTGGTCGATGTTCACCAGTTTTGTAAAGTGGACTAGCATCGGAAGGTAGACTAGATCCAAGATCATTGTAAGCAGATACTCTGAACTCAAAGATGCTCCATGGAGAGAGATTATTAACTCGAGCATTACTCCTGAAGTTTTCGCGATTCACTCCAGTAGACAAAATGTGATCAGCTAATACAATCCAAGAAGAATTGTGATTAGTTCGACCCTCAATCTTATAAGAGAGTATTTGTCTTCCATTAGAAGCACCATCACTCCAATGGATGGAAGCAGAAGTGGCATTTATAACATCGGCTAAAACACCGCCTGGAGGGTTTGGTGGGCCATCAACAATCAATTCCGTTGAATGAGCAATAGTGTCGACCGCTGAGCGAATCAAACAAGTATAGTTACCAGACTCGGCGAAAGTAATTCCTCGAATCTTGAGATAACCCGGTTTATTGCCGACTGTGAATTTCCATGAGTTGTACTGATCGACTTTGATACCATTATGGAGCCAAATGAAAGAAATGTCCAGCTTGGAATCAGAATTGGCATCACAAGGCATTTGAATGGTGTCATTTACTATGGCAACGAGTTTGGGTCTTGGGTATTCAGCAAATGTTTGGCTATCGAAGACAGTTAGATATCCTTTGCTTTGATCTCGACCATATTTGTTTCTGGCAACACAAATGTACCAACCTTCATCCTCTTTACGAACTTGATTGATTGTCAGTAATTCGGAGTTTGATCGCAATGGTGAATCATTTAGTAGCCATTGGAAAGATGGAGCTGGTAGAGCTTCAGGTGAACAAGTGATTGAAAACTTGGAGCCAAGAGCAGCGTACATATCCTTGAGTGGGTGACGTCTAAATGTTGGCTTGATACCAGATACTTTCAATTGAGCAGAACTGAAGTTGTTACCGAGTTCATTGTAAGCACGACATTGATACATTCCATTGTCTCTGTCAGGGTTAGCAGCTTCGATGGTTAGAACATTATCTTCAATCTTAATTCTTTGCGAGTCTTCTTGAGGGATGGTGTTACCTCGAAGTTCAACTCCATTTTTGTACCAATTATATTTAACTTGGGGAATTCCAAATGCTTCACATTTCCAGATGAGGTTGGTTCCAACATCGATCACCTTATCTCTTAATCCTTTGGTAAATACAGGCAGTGATTGGACTCGGAGAAAAGCTGCTGATGTGATAACACTATTACCACCGCTTTTTGCAGTACAACGATATTCACCAGAATCTTCAACCTTAACTTTTGGTATAATTAATAATCTATTGTGACCAGTTAATGATGCATCTTTTGGTAATTGATCACCAACTCTACTCCAATTGTATGAGGGCACCGGATAACCATAAGCGACACATTCAAGTGATACTAGTTGACCTGCTAACGGAGCTTCAGGGAAAATCTTAGGAAAACCAACAGGAAATTGAAGCTGTTGACTATTTGGTGTTGGATCAACTCTAAGGTAAAATGATGGACCAGTTCTACCCGTTGACGAGATGACACTTTGGACATTACATGAGTAATTGGCACTGTCAGCTTCTTTAACAGAAGAAAAGTAAAGGTTACCATCATTAGAAACAAATATCCGTCTATCATCAGCTCCAATAATATTTGGGTAACCATTTTTAGTCCAATAAAACATTCCTCTTGGATGATGTTGAGGTGGATCACAGCTTAAAGATTTACCCCAATTGGTATTAGCAAAATCATTAGATCTTTTCAATTGGAACTGACCAATGTATCCAAAGCTAACTTGAACCGTTTCACTTATGATGCTACCAAATTGATTGGAAACACGGCAATGATACTTTCCTCTGTCAATTTCTTTCCTAGGATTGTAAATGATTAACGTTCCATCCATTTGTGTAAATCTTTGATCTGAAAGAGGGTCAACTAATTCAGAAATAATTTCTGTCTTATTATAACTCTCCTTAAACCATTGATAAACGGGTGTTGGATAACCATCAGCCGAACATCTTAAAGTAACATAATTAAGATGATCACGACCATTGAGATCAAAAATTTGTGATCGAGGTTCCTCAATGAACTTAGGACCTCTAGGAATTTTCAAGGGATCAATTTCATCGATACCAAAATCAATTTGAACATCTTCATCTGCCAAAAGTAAAGAGAAAAAGAATAGAATTTAAAAAAAAAACAATCAAAACAAAACAGAAACAGAAACAAAAAAGAATCAAAATCTTCAACTTGTCATCACATTGAAACAAAAGAGAACAAAAAACCAAATCAACTTACCTGAGGCACTGGAATTGTTAAGGACACTAAATAGAATCAAGAGAATAGAAAAGATGATCATAATTAATTCTAATTAGTCACATGAAGAAAGAGAATTAAATAAATAATCTAAAGGTGAGAGACTATAATCTCTATAGTGAGAGTTGACTTTCTCTGGCAACCGATTATCGATGTTATCGATTTTTTTTTGTTCTTTCAATTTAAAAATATGAATTCTTTTAAAAGGATAAAAGAATCGCGATCAACAAGTCCAACCAATGGGAAGAATAAAAAAACCCGGGGTCTTGTTGGCGGGGAATGATGATCAGCCCAAGGGAAGAAGATGACAGAGGAAGGGAGAGACTCACGAATTGGCGCTTATTCACAATAGAAGAACATCTCTCTCGTTCTCTCTCTCTCTCAGTCTCTTCTTCTTTTAATTTCCATGTTTATGTTTTATTTGTTGTCCCAATTTCCTTTTTTAATTAACTCTACTTTTTGTCTTCCATCTTGATTGTCATCTATTCTTTACCTGTTCTGGTTAATTGTTTTCTTCTCTTTAGCTTGTGTTTTATGTGCTTGTTGTCCATGTGAATTTGTTTTAATCTCTCATCTTAATTTAATTTTCACACTTTTGTTCACAATCTATTTTCCATCATGCCTGTTGATGTTTTGGTTAATCGGAACAATAATGATCATGGAAATGATAATATTGAACAAATCGACCCTCAAGGTGTTCTCAATAATTACCAAAGGCATGATGTGAGCTCTGGTGGAGACAGAAATGTTTTATCAACTTCCAATGTTAGACAATCATCGGTTTCTACAAATCTTGATGAAGAGATAATTAGACGACGTGGTAAACGAGAGAGAAAATCTCATATAATCACCAGAAGCATGAACCCGATTATATTGGCCACCCGAAAGTCACCGATAAAAAGGCCAAGAGATAATTCAGTAACTTTGGAGATGTTGAAGATTTTGTAAGTATTCATTTTCTCTCCATTTAATTGTTTCTCTTTGAGAGTTTCACTTGTTTTCCATTTCATTTTGCCGAATGTTTTTTTCTCAAATTAATTGTCTATCATGTTTCTCTATTTTTGCAGCGGTGATTTGTCAAAATCTCCAAGTAAACGAACACCAGTTAAAAGACTTCGCACCTCACCGCCCTCAAGTCCTGGAATGATGACCAGAAAGCGTCTAAACATGAGCTGCGATTCAGGAATCGGTTCACCATCAAGCTCACCTTCAACCACGAATGGAACCCGAAGTTCATCAAACAATAAAAAGACTCCAGTCAACGCTCCAAGTAGAGCCCGTCGATCAAGAGCTCGTCGTAATTTACGCAGATTGTCCTGAAATATTCATTAAGTTTCATTCATTTTTCCATCAAAATCCCCATTCACCACCACCACCACCACCACCACCATCATCATCATCATTACATTTTCATCGCCACCAAAAAATCAATTTCATTTTATTTAATTACAATCAAAACAAAGCTTATTTTGAGCCATTGAAAAAAAAACTTTAAAATCACAAAAAGACAAAAAAATCATGTATAAATTATACTCATCATTTTTTTAGCAATTATTAAACAAAAATTACCTCTTAATTCGATCTAATTGTATTGGACATTAATTGCCAACTATTAATTATCAAATTAATTACTAAATTGTAGACGATTGAAAAGGTAACAAAGACCAAGAACAAAAAAAGAGGGAAAACAAAGTGACAAGTAGATGGCGATGTTAAAGCTCAGCTGTTTAAATTGATTCTTTTTGTTTACTCTCCATTTTGATAGTTTCACTTTCTCTTCAATTAATTGTTAATTTATTGATTGTAAACAACCAATTCGACACTTCAATGGCCGATCAAGCTTCCAGTTCTGCTAATCAAGGTGGAGAACCTCGTTATGATAATATCGCTCGTGTGAGAACTTTGGTTTGGTCTTTGAAAGAAGCAGTTCAAGTAAGTGTTTTCTTTTCGTTTCTTTTCAATCGATTAATTTTATTTGATTTTCTACAGAATCTTGTGAAAATTTCTGCTGCATATATTAACCACAATGCTGCTGTCGACAGTGGACTGTAAGTTATCCTGTTTTCGTTTCCATACCAATTCATCTCATTCTAATTCCATCAATTGTTTATTTTTAGAAAAGCTCCTGAAGACAAAGCATTACCACCATTCGATAAAGCATTTGAAGATTTTCATTCTTTACTTAATCAGATCGAGTTACATTTTGTAAGTGATTATTTGATTCTGTTCATTGATTCCAATTCTTAATCTATGTTTATCTCTCTAGAAAACAATACAAGAATGTGCTATCCAACAGCGACAGAGTCAAAAATATTTACCACCACCCGATAAATACAAAGGTGCACCTCAGAATATTGAAACAGGGGAACATGATAACATGACTTATGGACAATACATCAATCTGATCAAAGGCCAAATATCGTACGTTGAGAGTTTACAGAAAATAATTCTCGATGGAGCAAAAAGAATCGAACTACAACAATCTCAATGATTCCATTTACCATTTACTATTCTGTCCAAATATCTACTGATTATGAACTTTCTCTACAATTAATCACTAAGATTTTATCGAAATGAATACAGCCTAAGTATTTGTTAGATGATTTTATTCATCACCTTCGAAAATTGGACTTGATTGTTGATCTATTAATAAGATCAAAAAGCTCGAATCACAAAAATAAATGTAAATCTATTTTCTAATTGTTGATACAAAAGCTTTTGTATCAATCTCTGAAGTTGGTTAAGGAAAAAATCTAATCAATTTTGGAGTCACTTTGATTAACACCAAATTGTTGATCCATTTAAATAAAAGATCAAAATGGTTATTGGTAAACTAGTAAATTTAATTAGTTTCACTGAGATTTTGGTATAATAATAATACAAAAGAAAAAGTTAATCAAGGGAATTGGTTAACAATTATTATCATAACATAATACAAAAAGTACAATTTTTTGAGCTTTTTGGCTAATTAACAAATGAGATAATTTATTGTTTGATTTAGTGATTTCTATTGATAAAGATTGAGAATAATTTTTAGTATTTAACTTGATCGGCGATTTAATTTTTCGCTGTCATTTCTTTATCTTCGCCATTAGTTGAATTGACCAAAACATTGAGCCTTTTTAATTTCTCATCGATATCACATCGAATTTGCTTGAGTTTCCTAATGGCACTTTCATCGGCATCCAAGTCGTTTCGGGACATGAGGCCATTGGAAATATCGGAGACAAATCGATAATTACCAAGACCATCGAGATCGGAAGCTTCGTCTTGTAACAATCTACTAGTTCGACGAATCATGGCCAATAAAGACGAAGACGAACTTTTCATGCGATGAGGTTTTTCCATCGGCTGGCTAGATATTAATATCGGCGAGAAATGAAGAGGCGAGTATTTGATGTAATCACGATGTCGATTCAGCCCAGAATCAAAGCCGATCTTAGATTGATGATGTTGGGAAGATGATCCATTGTGATGAGGATGATGAGGTTGGTGTTTGTTTCGAGTCTTAGAAGTTGATTTATCACGATTTCTTTCATCTTCTGAAGATGATGAACTATTTTCGTAAGATGAGCAACTCGAGATTAATTTTCTCGATCGATTGTAATTGTGATTACTTGATCTCATTCTCATCTTTCTCTCTCTTTCTCTCGAAACTCGAATTGCTTCAAGTTTACCGTTAATTGTTGTTAAATTGCTCTCCAATTGATTAAGTTTCTCTTCTATGGCAGCATTGGATGCAGTTAATTCACTTTCTTTACCTTCAATAATTTTCTTCTCATCGATTGATTGTTTGATTGAATCCAATTCTTTAGTTAAATAGTGTAAAACTGATTTGGTTTGATTCATATCGTCGTTGATTGTTGCTTGACTTTTGGTAAATTGTTCATCTTGTTTCCTAATTGATTTGTCCATCGAATTGATCTCTTTACGAACCAAATCTCGAATCTCATCAATCGATTGTGATAATTTTTCTTGTTCCAACTTTTCTTTCATCATCAAGTGTTTCAACTCACTTCTTAAGGCATCTTGATCTTCATCATCGTCCTGACGGAAACTGTTCACATCTCGAGATAATCGGTGCAGGTCACTTTGGGTCTTCGAAGTCAAACTTTCCAAATTATCTTGACTTGTGGAAACTTCAGTCAATTGTTTCCTCAGAGCTTTAATTGTTAGATCATTGTCCTTTTTGAAATCCCTGAACTGTTCCATGGTCATTTCGAACTCATCTTTAATATCGCTCAAGTTTTTCTTCACCAGGTCACTTTCTTTGTTCACCAATTGTTTACAATCTTCCATAACTTGATCCACTTTACTGTTCACCGAATTAACTTCTTGTCTAATCTTGTTAATCTCAGTTGTACAATCGGATCCATGACGATTAGTGGTGATTAAATTGTTTTCCATTTGCTGTTTCTTTTGGTCTGATTGTATCGAGTTAATAGTTTTCTCAGACTGAGATAATCTCCTTTCCACTCCATCCAATCTTTCAACCGTCTTTTTGGCTAAATCATCTGATTTACGATTGATAACTGTAAACAATTCATCTCGCAAATTAGTTATTTCTTTTCTCAATTGATCAGACAATTTTCTAAAATTAGCTTGCTGTCCAATCAAATCAATCAATTCGTGTTTCTGTCTACCAACTCCATCATTTCCAATTTGTTTATCAGCGTTCGTTGACTCAACATCATCATCATCCTCTTCAAATTCAATTTCATCTCCATCATCCACAACTTTTACTTCTTCATCTTCATCCTCATTTTTAGCATCTTCATCTGGTTCCTCTTTCAATGTCTCCAATTGACTGATAGGAAATGAAGGAAGATTAACCAATTCTTGTCTGGTTACCTGGAACATGCCAACACCTTCCCCAGCGAATGGATCATTTTCCAGGCTTTGTAGTGAGAAATCATCATCACCATCAACATCTCCGTCGATATAATTATCTAAATCATCTTGAATGTATCAAAGAGAGAGAAACACAACATGATAATCAAAATAAATCATTTGGAAAAACAGAGTTAAACTTATAAACAATTAGAATAAATTTCTTACCATTAACCTCCAGAGATGGTTTTATATTCCTTGCACCGGGTCGCCCACTTTTAGGCCTCTCGATTTTCACCCTTTTCGTTTGTTCCTCTTCAATCTGACCTTTTCTTTCTCGCTGATTATCACGATAATCAAGATCGATTGTCAATAGATCAATTTGATAGATTTCATGATAATTCTTCACGTCGCATGGTCCACCTTCGGTTACATCTAAGGTAACAATTTCCTCTTCAAGGCTTCCATCATCTTCTATTTCCTTGAATGCATCATCATCCAATTCCAATTGTATCGAATCGATATCATCCTCAATTGATTCATCCAAAGAACTTAAAGTTAATCGCTGATCGACAATAACATCATTTGAAGAGGTATTTTTACTTTTCAACATCAACTCGTCGTTTCGCTGTTTCGTCTTTTCACCAGAAATTAAGGATTGACCTAAATTCAGTTTATCCTCTTTTCCTGATTTCCCAATTTGTTTACTACGATTACCTGTCAATCGTAAACCACCAACACCCTCACCATCCTTAACATTTCCTTCAGCATCTTCGTCATCCTCATCACCAACATCCAAGAATCGCAGATTGACCAATGGATTGAGTCGGTCATTCGAAGCCATGAGTGACTTTCGCTGTTGGGATCGTTTCTTTTTCACAAACGATTGGAGGTACTTGTCAATTGGGTGGGTCCAAGTGGAAAATCCAGTTACCTTATTGTGGAAATAGATACGACCCAGTTGATCTTGTCTTCTCAGGTTAATCGGTGAGAAAGTAAGAGAAAAGAAAGAGAAAGTTGAAGAAAAGGTTAAACTTTCAAGGTCATGATAACATTTAACAGGATGAGAAGTAATCAAGTTTCAAGAAAACAAAATGACAACTCAGAAAATGAGATTAACTATTTACAGTTTTAAACTTTGATATTTCCATGAGGATGTTTTATAAATCATTGTCTTCATCATCAAGATCATGTCTCATTTAATCAGCTGATTGATAGTTGACAGTTTATGTTAATCAAATCAGTTGAATGTATGAACACTTTTACAACAATTGAAATAAATTGTTTCTCACTCAAACAATTTGAACCATAACCAAACAATTGATAAATTATCATGAATAAATTATTCATGGTTCAGGTCAATCATGAAAACCTTGAGATGTTTTCATCATGAGCACATTGGTTAATTGTTGTTGTTGATTGTTTGTTCAGCTAATTCTGTTAACCTGGTGAGCTCAAGTATTAGATCATGTGAATATCATTTCCATTAAAATAAATTGTATTAACCATTCATCACAAAACTCGGTATTGTAATTAGTGAACAGCAAGAAAACTCATTCAATTCTTAATAATTAATAACAACCACAACCCAAACCAGAAAACCACAAATGATTATAAGTTAATTGTTGATGATGGTAATTAAATGACAGATCGTGTATTGAATTTCAAGGAAACGTCATTAAAACGCAAATACTCAGGTCAAAATACCGGATTAGTAAATTGCTTCAATGATTTTCTATTGTCACTTTTTTCATTCTAATCAGATAATATTCAGAACTGGAACAACTGATTAACTGTTAACTAAATTCAAATCATTTCCATCAAAATTAATCGTTATTTTGGTGGTGGAAAAAGGATCGAAATCATGAATAAGAAATCCATTGAACCCGAATGGTTTTTGTTCAAATTTAGCCGATTTTAAATATTCTTTAGAAAATTGCTCTTCAAGATAATCCATCGGCTCTTAATCTCCAGGTAAGACAAGAATCACAGGTAATACTTACACAGGAATCCAGGAATCAGGTAGAGGAGCTAATAATCCCTTCCGAGCGATCCAAAGGAGATACGATTCAGTTGAAGGATTAATCCCAATGGTTTTAGCATAATCGATTACATCTAATGGATTAAGAATACTAAATGAATCAACAAAAAGTTTCGATAATTGAACAAAAAGTGATAATCTTTTCTAATTCTTACCTTGATGATTAATATCATTGGATGAAATGGAAATCTCCTCTAGAATAGTTTGACCTGATTTATCGTAACTCTCAGAATCAGGATTACCTTCACCCAGACTAACTGTTCAAAAGATGAATTAATAGTAATGTAAATTAGGAATAAGGATAAAAGATTAAACAACAATAAAGAGAAAATTAAATTGGGATTAACATGGCTGACCAAATTTTCTTCGGATTAATAATATTAAAAGTGGATTCAACTTTCTCTGCTTCTCAAGCCAATGAAGCCATTTCATTGAAACTATGGAAACAATTTAGTTAATGAAAACAATAATAGAGTAAAAATAATACACAGAGACAATTTTCTTGTTATTTATCATCATTATGGTCATTTGATTAGATTCCGATTCCCTCATCATGTAAATCTAATAATAGATGTTTTAATCTCGTTGACAATTTAATCCAATTGTTTCATGGAATCACATTGCCCATTGATAATAAATATTCATTCATTAATTTCTGTTAATCTTTTTGTCTTTGAAAATGGTGATTGACTTGATGTTAAATTGTTGTCATTTCTTTCAGGCATATTGTTAATTGTTCAATGATTATAATCACTTTTACTAGTGATTAGTCCTATCAATTTGTACTAATTAACTAATAACTCTTGTGATTATCTCTCAGATCCCTTGTTGTTCAAACAATTTGATTAGATTAGAATAGTTAATCTTTATGTTTCATCAATTCAGTCATTTGGAATCGCTTTCATGTAAAACTAAAGCCTGGTAATTGTAAATAAGGAGATGGTGAGTTTATTA